GTATGATTCTTGGCTTTGAACCTCCTAGACATGGAAAATTTATACAATTAGAAAAAGACCATTAACTAGATATTAACTCTATTACTGCCAGACAGTTTTCACTTTTACTTATTCTATCTGATCAACTGCAATTTTAAAGTTGTAAATGTTGCGTCTAAAAGTGGTAAATTAGTACCTCTACTGCTGGTAAGGAATAAAAAATCCCCCCGTGTGGGTTCCGGGGCCCTATTGTGGGGAAAACAAGAATAGACCCATTGCCTCCCCAAAAGCATGTCGTAAGAGACGACTAATTGGGGAGCTTCCTTTGAAGTCGGAGTGCATCTGCCGGAGAGGCAAGGAACCAACAGTCTGTATTCAAGAGAATGAGATCTGTAAAACTGATGCACATGCAACACTCAGGTTCTGGAGCAGGACTGCAGTTCAGTAGTGGACGAGCAACCAGAACCTTCCGCCAGAGTTTACAGCTGGTGAACGCAAAGAAGAAGAAGAATAAATAATCAATCACGATTGAGTTGATGAATGTAACAACTGGTTGGAACATAAGAAGATGAGACTATTTTATCATGTATGACAGGGCTTCCCATTTGATGGTTCCCCCAGACTGGTGGGTACATGGAACAAACTGAATATGTTTGATTTCATTTAAAGAGCCCTTTTAATGCCTCAGATGTATTGGGCATACAGTGCTAGATCTATATTTTATAGACCAGTCAATGCTCTGTGAGTGATGTGGTCAACATCACACTGGTCACCTTTACTTCCCAGGACTTTACCTGGTAGCCCCACCCCAAAAATTAGCTTGAAAATATAACCCTTTTTTATTGTGATGCTAAAGTTTGTAAACTTTGTGATGCTAAAGTTTGTAAACTATCAAATGTTCTTCAAATGATTATTTTTAAAAAAAATATTGGATCTGTGTGAAAATAAGAGCGGCCTGCAGCTTTGAGGTAACTGGGAATTCCCGGTGTAAGATATAACCAAACTCCATATCCTGAGTTCTTTGGTAATAAAAGAGTCAATGATGATTTTACTTTATTTTTACAAACAAAATAAATTAAAAACCAGAATATAGTTTCAAACAATATATTTGATTACATTTCTATGAAATATAATTTTAAATTATAATTTAGAATGTGAAAAAAAAAAAAATTATAATAATGTAGGTGATGCAGTCTGATGTCTTGGCCATAAGTAATCAACCATTTGCCATCTCAACCATTTGCCATCTCAACCCTTTGCCATCTCAACCATTTGCCATCTCAACCATTTGCCATCTCAACCATTTGCCATCTCCACAGTGAAAGTTGGCTGCAATGGATCTCCAACATGCTCTGTCTCTTGTCCTGGTTTGTACACTCTATGATGCTGCTATTTGTTCATCATCTGATGTTGTCTTCCCACTTGTATCATTATCTACCTTTTTATTTGTCACTTCCCTTCCATAAGGTTTTTAAAGAGTGAAGTCTTTTAAGTGGTCAAAATATTTCAATTCTTCCTGTCTGTTTTTTTTTTTTTTTTCAACTTCTTTCAGTATTTATAGTTGATACACAGTCTGTCCAGAACCCATGTTTTTGACCGTTTTTGTTTCCCTGAAATACGACCTATACTTCTGTATTGGCCATAAGGAGCAGACTTACCACCAATGCAGCAAGATGGGCATAACGTGCACATAAAACAAATAGGCTTCTCAGGATGAATGAGAAAGGTACAAGGGCAACCATTGTAGTACATACTGTAGCTGTCACGTGTGCCCTAATTATAACTTCCTTGGAGAGTGAATGGAATGTCTGGAATTTACTGTCCGACTGGAATATAAGATGCAACTTAAAGAATTTTATTTTTTCAAAGGGGTATCACAAATAAAGATGGCAGCTCCCCCCTCCCCCTCCCCACTTTCCGATCCTATTTGGGTTCCTGGGCCCAATTTGGGACGGGGGGGGGGGGGGGGGGAAACCACTGCCAACCTAACAAGCATGTTGTAAAAGTCTACTAATTTTTCATGTTTCCTTCGAAGTAAGAGTGCGTCTGCCTGAGAGGCAGGGAACCAACAGTTTGCATACGCACAAAAATCAGATCTTTAAAAAGATGTGCATGCAAAACTCATGTTTTGGCTCAAGACCAAAATTCAGAAGTGGATGAACAACCAACTTTCCTGTGAAGTTTACAGCTGGTAAATGCCAAGAAGAAGAAGGCACTACTGTAAAAAAGCATTTTATCCTTTTTTGTGAATGGAGGGCCTTTTGATCAACATAGTTTTGTTTAACTTATTCAGACCCAAAAATGTAGAACTCCTCATTGTAAAAAGGAAACTAAAAATTTGTGTTTACTGGTATGCATTGAGCGGAGGAGTGGTGATAGAGCGGTTGCAATGAAAAGACCCAGGGCTGACCTCCAGTAAGGTGATAGGCATTTTCTAGGAAGGAGGTAGGGGGAACATCATAATCTGCACAGTTCATGGCAACAGCACTACCCATGTAACCCTAAATTCTCTGACTCATGACCCCCCCCCCCCCCCCTACCCCCTGTTTGCACTGTTAGGTAAATATAGACATTAGTTACAGACACTGATGCAAAAAAAAGTTGATAAACATATTTGTAGTAGAGAGAGAAGGTGAACCAGAAAATAGGCTAAAATTTGTAAAATACAGAAACTTACCGAACCAGGCAGACTGTTGTCAATGCAAATAAGATAACAAAAAGTGTCGGAACTGCTATGGCTGCAATTAAAAAGGTTTGATCTGAAAATATATGATAATATAAAAAAAATAAAGATCAGTGTTTTTCAGTGTTTTTCGCTGTATGTTTACAGATAAAAATCTATTTGATTTATTGTAACTGCTGTTTAAACAATGAACTGCAAGTCTCGCTGTGGACCGTTAGTACCGGCACTTCTTATGGCTGCCTTATGCAGCAGATAATGCATGTGTGTACTACTGACTTTGCTGAGACTAAGTCTGCCTCAATTTTTCAAATGGGATAGCAATGGGCATTCTGTGTAGTTTTCACCAGCACAGATTGAGCAATAATGAGGTGATCCATCTGCCATAAAAATGAAATTGAGATTAACAAAATTACAGCTGGCAGTAATGGTGGCAACGTTCACTGAAGTAGTTTTAATTGTTTTCAGTTAAATATAAATGAATTATTTGTTTCAATTTCACTCAGGGATTACAGTTTGTAGGATTAACACCTCATAGATGAGAATCAAACAGGTGCAAATCCTGAAAACCCCATTCAGCTGTAAAACACATGTATACTGGGATGCTCAATGGTTACAAAGTAACACACAATCCAGTTTGGGTAAGCATGATTAATTGAAATATAAAATAATCTAACATGTGACATCAATCATGAATAAATGACAAAACACCATTAAGCGCTTACCAAAACTAAACTGTTTCCAATCTTTCATTTTCTCTTGGTCTTCATGTATATCATCATACATCCAGTAAAAGTAATCCTTATAATCAGGCTGATCTGCCTTGCAGTCACTTAGAGATGTAAAACCAATGCCGGATGTCATGAGACCTGTTTGAGAATACATGACAAACATTAAAACAAATAGTAAAGTAAAGATCCCTTTTCACGCCTTAGGCACATTGGGCATATGGGAAGAGCACCCATATTTTTACAGACTAATCGGCACTGGGCGGGTAATGTGGTCAGTATTACGCTGGCCGTCTTTACTTTCCCTGGTACCCATTTTAGCTTGGGTCGACCTGCGACGCCCCATACCATGATAAAAATCCACGCAGCCAGCAGTGGATTTCGATCGCGGTACGTTGGAATTATGAGTCGGACTCGCAACGCCTAAGCCACGGACGCCGCATTAAAACAAATAACTGACTATAACTGGTTAATCAAAATATAGTACTAGCACCAATTTCCCAGTGGGCCAAAGGCAGGAAAGGATCCTTTACTTTACACTTTTACGTACATAAGTTACAATTTACAATAAAACAATCAGAAAGAGACAAACACTGTTCTTTGGGCACATAATGAGAGGAGAGACATTGGAGAACATCGTGACAACTGGAAAGATCAGTGGAAAGAGGGGCAGAGTCAGATCAAGAGAGATGATGCTGGATGGGTTGAAATTATGGCATGGAGAGTTATTATCAAGAGAGCTGTTCCAGGCAACCAGGTATCGTGATCTGTGGAGACGTATGAGCGCCTACGCCAGTTCGCAGGGCACATGCTGATGATGATGATGATGATATATGTATTAAAGCCATGACTGAGCTTTCAAAATCTACCAATCAGCACTGGCAACTTGTTGCATTATATTTGTCAAGTCTACAGCTTCTATCAGGTACTCAGGTAATCACAGTTCATACATCATGGCAAACGGTTCACCCCATAATTGCTCTGTTTCTGTGCCAACGGAAGGCATACAGAATGTCCTCACTGTCCCTTGCGAAAGAATCTACTTAGACGGCAGTCTCATAAAAACAAACAACATACACATGCAGTTAATGCATAAGGCAGCCATCAGAAGTGCCAACTTAAACAGTCTGGCACCAGAAACGCAGTTCATTGTCGATGGATGCAGCAGTTACAACAGATCATTAACTGCACATGCAATTAGGCGTATAAGGACCACAAGTTCTCTCGCACAGGCAACCAACCATTTTCTGAATCTGCATTTCACAACGTAAACAAACGCTAAACTTGTCAAAAAGCATTCCAAATGAATTCCACAACCCACATTGCCACACCAAGTACTCAACTCAGTAGCTAGGTGACGGAACTATATTCTTTCAGTCTACACATGGAAGAAAATGCAATGGCTAACTATTGTCAGAAGTAAAACTTGCCTGACTAAAAACAGTCGGCCTCCCTATCCAACATACTGACTGGAAACCCCATCTACAGCTTCTACAAGTCTACAGCTTCTGGAACCTATCATGAAGTCTGCAACAACCTATGCCTGGATGTTTGTAGCTAGATTCCTCCCATGCCATTTATAAATAATGACGTTTTTGTGACAACCTACTAACCTTCTGGGCACTGAACACAAGATGACATTCTAGCTTTATTCTGGTAGAATCCTTTACCACATCGAACACAGGAGCCCTTGCTGTCAGAATAGAACCCAGAGGGACAATTCACTGAAAGAAAAGAGAAGATAAATGTTGCAGCTACAAATATTTTAGTGTCTTATCAATGCTTTATGTTCAAATTGTGAGTTCCTAGTAGCAGCATCAGTAGTAGTAATTTCAGCAATGCATCATGTTCAAACTATCTGGGTTATTAGTGGGATATATAGATGTTTTTTTTTCTTTCTATTTTAATTTTGGCTATTTTTGACTGTCAGTTACTTCTGCTTATTCAGTATTGCATGGATTATGTATTAATTGTAACTGATTGCAGAAGTATAGATTGTTAAGTTTAATATATTTTCAGTGTTCTTTTTTAATAACTGTGTCTGTTCCTTTAGTAGCTGTTTGAAAAGTATTTAAAGAGGAGTTAGTCAATTTAAGTGCACCCTAATTTTTATCTCATATGGCTCAGTCTTTTGCTGCAAAGCAACTGGTTACCCACAGAGAGCATGACATAAAGGACAAACTTCACAGCTCCATCTATTACCCCCCCCCCCCCCTCCTTCCCCCCAGCCTCTCTGAAACACCTACATTTCCAAATGAAACAATTGAGAATGAACCCATGACCTTTGGAGTGTTTTCCAAATGATGTAACCACTTGGCTACAAACATCTCCAACTACTAACTGTTTAAATTTCAAAATGTTTCTTCTTTGTGTGTGTGTGTGCATGTGTGCGTGCGTCTCTCTCTCTCTCTGCTCTCAGCCATTGGCACTTTTCCATCTGACCAGATAATAGTCTTATGCTGCGTTAGGAGAGGCATGAGAATCACAGTCAATTAAGGCCAAAGATGAAATTCCTCCTCTCAACAGCACAATGCCTGTATTGTACAGACAACGTATTGTCCATGCAACCTAATCCCCTTCTTAGACTGCCTAGTTTACTCCAAAGAAAAGGTAACACCAGTACATTTGGAACAAAGCACGCTGCAAAGGCTACCAAATCAGAAGAGTAGCGCCCTGTCCATCTGTTAGAGTTTCCCTCTTAGACCAGCTACCAGCCAAGGTTATGGACCTGGTCTGTCTTGCCTCAACATTCAGTTATGAAGTTTCACTTAATCTTCTTAAGATAAGGCTAGTGTCCTCTCTTACTGCTGCTCCACCTGAAGCCATTGGCAGAAGGAGGGATGTAAGGTTTGCTACATGCTGCTCAATATTCAGTTTAAACAGAGAACAGGTAGTACCAACTACTGTAATATGGTAGCTCAGTAGTATCTAATTGAGATGTTACTTCCATTAATAGTGCCAATAAAACCAGTAATTTGTTTCAAGTTCCTGCCATAATTTTTACCTTTATTTCTATTCCCTTCCTGATTTCCTCCCTTCAAGAAACACAGTCCATGCCATTTTGATTTCACATATCAACCTCAATACCTGTATCACTTATGTCCTGCTTGCACGCATCTTTATACTGTAACAGAGGCTGACCTAAATGCCTTCTACCCATCTGTAATTCACAACACAGGATATCCTTAGGAACTCTACCATCCTCCCATTCTCCAAGCATGACCCAGCCAAATAAGCCTTCAGATAACTGTTGTGATTCCTGCTCTTTCCAAAAACCTCTGTGTATGTGATCTTGTTTTGCCATTTAATGTCAATTATTGTTCTTAGGCATCGCACATGAAAGCTACTGAGCCACTTCTTCTGGAGAAAAGCATAGGATGAAACATACAACAAACATACCACAAACTCCCTCCAAAAATCCAGAGCCGTCTTGGGGACATTTCACTTCTGCTTTAGCAGAACTAATTTTTCCATTGTATTTGACACCTTGGACATTAAGTTCATAAATGTTGCTGAACTGATTCATCAGCTGAAGTGTTATGTTTTCAATCAGTTGCAGACGGTTCATCTGAACTGTTATTTCACTTTCTGTAATACAAAAAATAAAATATTAAATGGAATCACATGTAAATTAAAATAATAAGTGTATTCAATATTCCAAGGATTTAAACATTTTTTTAAATTAAAAAAAAAGAGATATGCCGTCTCCACAATGAAGGTTTGATACCATGCACTAACTGATGACTTTAGGAATATTAACAGAGTTATATTATGCAGCTCTTATTCTACTGTCCAAAAACTATGAGAACGGATTTGAAAAAAAAATGCCCACAGCAATCATTAACCTTTCAGTCACAAAGCTGCATATTTCAATGGTCGCCCAGGCTCTTTACAAACTGATGTCACGTCCTTTGTAGTCTTATTCGTGACTGGCTAGATTATGCTGCTAAACTTTTCTCTAGGATGAGGAAGCAAATCTCATCAACCCTCCTAAGGTAGTAATATATTATGGCATATCTGGTAGGTAAGTGTTTGTTATTATTGTTTGCTCTCTTATGCGCTCAATTAATTTCTTATTCTATAAACATTCATTAATTGGTGCCTGAGCAGAATAAAGAGAATTAAACAGTAGTATAATTACTAATGTATAGATATGGGCGAGAAATAAACATATTCTAGTGATTCGAGAGATGAGGAAAAGATGCTGGTGTTGGATAGGACACATATTGAGAAAAACCCGACAATGATAAAACTAGACTGCCTATACTTTGGAACACATGATATAAACGGAATAAAGGCAAATTAAAGAAACATATGGAGAAGGAAATTAGAAAGAGAAGTTTAAAAAGATGGGGAAGACATGGGGTGAGCAACATACGATGGCAAAGGATAGGACAACCTAGCATGGGCCTAGTGCCTATGCTCCATTGGGAAATAAAGGGCACAGGAAGAAAAAAAATTGTCATATTTCATTAGCAACAAAGTGGCTTAAAGGCTGCAACATCCATCTTTGGCTCGAATATGTTCTGTTCATTTAAAAGTTCACACTGTGATATTATTTTTAAAACAAAACTAGATATACTGTTACCTAATACTGATATAGTGAATCACATGTCTGGCCTCAGAAATGGTCAAACCCTTGCACATTAAAAATCCCATGGCAAAAAGGCCAAATAGGCAGTTGTCTCGAGTAAACTGCAAAATTATAATTTATTTTCACTTACATTAATCTTATATACAGAAAGTTTTTCTGGTATTCACATTTTTGTTAAATTTGCTTTTTTTTTTTTTTTATACTTCTGAAAGCTTATTTGCAGCTAGTTTTGGGGTATTTTATCCAACCAGTCACATTATCTTTAGTTTATCTTAAAACAAATGTGATTAATTCTATGTAACAATTCTGAATTTTCTTCTTGTACTATGACCCCGATAACATGTGGGGAAAAAGGGTATCTGTGCAACTTTACTCCTTCGTTAGTTGTAAAGCTGTTATTACCTGAGAGTGAACTTAGATACTCTGAATGTTGTCCTGTTTGAGAAATCTCCATGCTTATCATCACAAGAAGAGAACCTGAAATAAAGGCAAAGTTGCATTTTCAAATAACAAACAAAAAACAAAAAACATTTTTGTAACTTTGATTTATTGTGACATCTGAGACTGAGCACTGACTGGATGCTTGCCTGGCTTCAAAAAGTTTTTAGGTTTGAATACCCACCTGGGTAGATTTAAATGACTTAAGACACCCATATTGACCCAGCCTTAAAAAAAAAAAGGATAGCAGGAAATGTCCCGTAAAGCTAACCACCCTGATGTTCACCACATCACCCACTAACAGGTAACTGCAGTTCAACATTCATAGCCATCCGGTGACTGCATAACTGCTCTATTTCTATGCCAGCAAAAACAAACACAAAATGTCCATCACTGAAACGTGTGAAAAAAAACTGACACAATTAAGTTTTCGCAAATCCAATAGCATATGCATGCAGTAAATGCATAAGGAAGCAGTCAGAATTGCCAACACAAGCTGTCTATCACAAGGAATGCAGTTCATTGTCGATGGAAGCAGCGATACAACTGATCAGTAGTTGCACACACAGTTAATCACATAAAGGTATAGAAGTTCTCTGCCAACAGGCCACTCGCCATATTCTGAATCTGCAGTTTACAACACAAATTACAGTCACAGTCAAAGGAAAATTTCAAATGAAATGCACAGCTCACAATGTCATGCCAGTGTCACTTACTTCAATAGCAGGATGATGCAACTATGTTTTGGACTATTGGCCTAAAGCGGACTTCCATCAAAATGGACTGTTTTTAGGTGGGGAAATTATTTTGCTTCTGACAGACAGTGACCGTTTCATTTTCCTCCATTTTTAAATTGAAGAGATATCGTTTTGTCACCCCCAGCTACTGAGTTGAGTGCGACACTGTGAGCTGCAGATTTTATCTGGGTTTTTTCACTGTGACTAAGGTGGTGTTGTGAACTGTAGATTCAGAAAATGACACATGCCTTGTTGCCACATAAATGGTGGTGCCTCATGTGATTAAAAATTAATTACATGTGCAACTGCTGATCTGTTTGTGGCTGCCGCTTCCATCGATGATGAGATGTATTTCTAATGTCAGACTGTTTGTGTTAGCACTTCTGATGATTGCACTATTATTTTAATGCATGTGAATGCTGGTGGACATGCTGAGACTGCACTGTGTCCATTTTTTCCAGAAGAGACAGTGATGGACATTCTGTGCATTTTTTGTTGGCACAGGATGGCAGCAACTATGGGGTGACCTGTTTGCAAAGAAGCTGAAATTAATATTATCAGATTGGGCCAATGTGTGAAAAACGTCACTAAAGAGAATTACTATCACAGCACACATAACAAATAAATATATTCCGGTTCAGTGAAATGTCTGAGATATTTAATTGTTAACTACTACTTCTCATAGAGACATTTAATTATAAACTACTACTTCTCATGTTTGCTTTATACATTGTCTCTAAAATACTAAAACAGGATATAACTGACAATAACAGCAATTACACCCAATCAGTAAGTAAAGTCTACTGCAGACCGCTTTAATATAATTATTCTAGTTAACCAGCATAAGTACATTGTTCAGAGTGGGAACATGTTGCCAAGGATTGTGTTGCAGGGTGGGAGAAATCAGGAAAACAAACAGGAATAAAGAAAAAATTGGCTATCCTCTGACTAGCGGTCGGTAAAGATGGCAGCCACAAAATATCCTTTCGAGCCACAGTCGCGTGACTTAATTTGCGGTTCTCCGGCGGTTTTCAGGCGACTATTGTCACCGCCACGTGTCCCCCACGCCGCTCATGCGGCGTGGAATGGGGCTAAACTAGATGGCTAGGACCCACGAGCAGCAGCCGTGGTGTGCTCGTGACCGCTAGTGCGCAATTGACACGTGACTGTGGCTCGAAAGGATATTTTGTTGCCCCATCTTTACCGACCGTTAGTCGGAGGATAGCCGAAAATTTGATTGCAGATGGGTTAACAGCTGAGCTTCTGAGAAGAAAGACATAAAATTCGTAGTGGCAACAATGGTCCTGAAATCCTACGCTCTCATTATGAAAGATTTTTCTCAACATGAGGGGTCTTGCTTGTCACACTCGCCATTACTATGGGCTAAAAATCCCATGTCTCCCTGCAACATAAAATAACACTATAGGCTCGAAAAAAAGAAAGGTACTAACAAAGTTCAGAGTGTTAACTCTTTGAGTATCAAAAGATTTTGCGGGATATTCCCAATGTTAGCAACTGCCACAGTGAATTTAAAATGTGATAATCTGACTATCACAGATATAGCAATTCATATACCTAGCTGGGGCATTATTATACCTAGCCAGATTTTGGTAGTATGCTTGGGCTTAAATATCAGATCATATTCTTGGCTGCATGGTACAAATAGGCAATAGCTCATCATGCATGGTGCATTGATTGGGACTGAAGGAGTTAAGAAAATAGCTCAGACCTATTGAGGATTGTTGTTGTTGTCCACAGGATAACGTGGTCTGGATGTGAATGCTGCAGCCAACGATGCCCTTGCACTCAACTGTTTGCTCCAGGTTGCTGTTTATGGAATTTTTAAACTCTGAAATTGCTGGTAGTTTGCTGCAGTTGATGTTTTCAAAAATGACATTTAATGACGTCTTTTGTGAAGATGGTATTTTCGCATCTGGAAGAAAAATAACTTAATGTAAAGATAATACAATATATTTAGCACACATAAAATAATATGCCATTTTAGGATGAAATTACATAAACACAAACGTTAAGAAAACATCAACTTGCTCAATTTATTATAAATATTTCTGCTCTTAAAAACTTCATTGTGAAAAATTACTTTCAGTTTGCTGTCATACTGCAGTTATTATTTATTGTCTCTTTTATCCTCAATGCTCTGCAAACTAATCTAGGGTGTTGTGATTTTTCTTGAGCAAATTATTTGAATAAAGCAATATTTAGTGTGTAAGCAATCCTGTGCTCTTAATTTCATTGCTCTCTATTAATAAATATGTATCCATCTATTCTGTGCTTTCTGAATATCAAATACAAGATGAATATAACATAAATACTTTAAGCAAAGTAAAGTAAAACCCAATTTTACACCAGTAGCCCATTTGGCATATGAAGCTAGACTCATAAATTTATAGACCAACCTTGATGGCTGATGTGGTTATCCTCATGCCTGAGTTACTTTTAAGTTTTTTTTATAATTTTTGAAATGAGATTTTATTGCAGCACAATATACTGTTATTCGTATTCTTGTAAGTCTGATCTTTACCCTTTTTTGTTTGACAACATATTTTCATTTTGAAACTTTATATTTTGGTTGTTTGCACAAAGCTAACAAGATTTTCATGGAAACATTTTGGGCTTTTTTGTGGTAGGCAGTACCGGCACCTTTTTTTTTTATGGCATACTTTTTTCAGTGCTACTGAAATAGACACTCTGCAGTGAGAGTACTGACACATTTCTAGACATTTTGTAATGGGTGTCAGCAAAATTTTTTCCCCTAGAAAAAAGCCCTGGTAACACTATGAATTATAAATTTAAATAATGAAACACTAAACACTGAAGTATAATTTTAGTAGAAGTTAGTCAGCAATCTGAGAATAATACACGCACTGCTTAGCTAGAACATTCAAGTTTGTAAAAAAAAAAATTGAATCAACATCATGGCCATACCTGTACACTTAGGAAGAATTCCAGTAGGGTTTTCCTTTGTCTGATGCGACCATGTATAATTTGTCAACTGTCCACACTGAAACTCATTAAGATCATTAGGTACCATCACCATTCCAGGTTCACACATAATGTGGCAAACTGTCATGTCGACAGTTTGATTGTAGGCACAATTTAACGATTCACCAGTCTCTGAGGTGTTTAATACCTTGCATTCTGGGAACATTAAGTAAACAGTAAACAGTTATTCAAAACAATGTTTCCCATAGTAAATTTAAACAATGTGGACACAAAAAATACTCTGCCCAATTTATGGCCTGGCAAATTCTGCTTCTCATCATATGCAATACTTCTTCTTCTTCTGCATTCATCCATAGATGTAAATGTTTATGCCAGTTAACAACATGGTTGTGATATTTGTGCCTTTCAGCCATCACATCTGATTTCTACAGATGTTTGTTGCCCTGATAACCCTTCCCGGATGTGCATTACTACAGAGTTACATAAACATATAAGCACAAAAATAAATCCTTTCCGCATAAATTCACAAATCACTGTCTTCTTTAGTTTCACAGTCCAACTCATCAACACTGTGCAAACAAAAAAAGTATGTGATAATTTAGAAAATTCTACGATAATCACAAAGTTATCTTGATCTTCCATTGATATACATTGTGATTCTCACATGTGCCATATAGTTTGCAAACAGAGCTGAGGTTCTCCTTGCTTGATGTATAAGAAATAGACAGGAGCACTTAGTGATGTAACAACAAAGTAGTTCCATAGCAGATACAGTTATTGTGGCTTAGTATATTAGGCTGTAACACATTCTATTCTGTAACATATGAGATAGGGTGGCCAGTTCTTTGTCTCCTCACTTCTTTTGCCAGACCACGCCTAGAACACAATTAAACGGTTTGTCTGGTAATTTGGTAATCCCATCTGGATTACACAGACCTCTAGGAAGGTGAATAGAAGATACTGAAAGTATATAGGGCTTGAAAATTGCTGGAGAAAGAGATGCTTTCAAGCATACCACGAGGAGAGCGACACTCTGTAAAGGGCTTGCTGATTGATAATGTTGTCTGGTAAACATTTAAAAAAAAATATTTATACCTGTGCTAGGGATTGAACCCTGTCCACTTTCTTAGCAGGGAACAGCTGTGGTGTAGCGGTTAGATGCTCACATGCGGATCCGATCATCGTGGGTTCAAGCTCTTATGAAGAGAGACTTTAAAAAAAATGACCCTTGCTCTCAGGTTAATCCAATCTCAAATGGGTACAAGGTAAAGTCCTGGGAGGTAAAATCGGCCGGTATGATGCCAGCCACATTACGTACCAAGTGCTTTTTGGTCTATAAAAAATGGGTATAACCATATAAGGAAAATATGCCCGAAGGCGTGGAAAAAGATCAACTATATTTCTTTACTTTTTACTATCTTAGCAAGCAAATGACCTAACAACAGTCTACTATGACTTATAGAGATATCCATGTTTAAAAAAAAATGAACTTTAGCGCATCAAATAAAACTTTAGCAATATTTTATGCATAAAATAATGTCTGATCTGTCAACACTTACTGGGACAATTATGAACACTGCACAATCTGGTCTCTGCTGCCTGGCTACTGTTACACTGGACACCTCCATGGGAAGGTGGTGGACTGTCACAGACACGACTTCTCCTAGATGACCCTCCACCGCATGTAGCACTACACTGTGACCACTCTGACCACAGACCAAACAATCCGTCAACTGAGAACAGAGTAAACCCACTATAGGTTTAATATACAGAGCTTGAAAAACAATGTTAGGGTCCGTATTCTTCTTCATCCTCTCTTCCTTCTCCTTCTCTTCTTTATTTCTTCCTTCAGTAATCTCAGTGAAGTGTTGAGGGAAGATGAAAGCAGCTTTGGTTTATCCCATATGACCTGGTGAGATGGAATAAACTTCGTCGCACGAAGGCTTATCAAATATGACCTGGTGTAGCTCAGTAGAATGGATGTTTGCCACTTGAGAGTACTGGAAAAAACTAGCAATGATCTCAATAGATCTTCAAAACACCCTTACCTTAAGAGTGGTTAATGACTTAACCTCTTTGCCACTGAGATCTCAACCATCACTGCACACTGGACAAGCCATTGACCCCGACTCCTAAGATGTTCAAAGAGTAAATGATAGGTGACCACTACAGTTAAATGCTGTCTAACCAGCTTCCTTGGTCTGTTAGAAGACATTCAAATCTTGCAACTCCCTGTTCAACTCCAGTATATCTCATTATAAGTCTGCTTAGTATATTTTTCAACTCCCTCTGTCTGTTGAGTGATTGTACTGGTGAGTTCAGATTTGATATTTCAGTGGTCAGATAACTTTTTATATTCTCAAAGTTGATGTTCCTGTATTTTTATTCTTTGGTTAAAACATTTAATGTCACATGTATATCTTCCCCGCCAGCGGGTGCTACGGATGTGGTAGTCCAACAGTTGATTCACGTCCATTAACACCCAGGTGATCTGATTATCTATACGATGGTTCGGTGTTGAGAAGAAAGAGAAGTGCCTGGGAGTTCATAGCAAAAGACAATGGAAAATCTTGAGTGCAAGACAGACTAGCATTTGACATCACAACATCTAGCATGAGAATGGAGGTGGAGGTGGTAACTGCAGCTCTCCGGTGGCTAGAGAACAAGATACATACGCATGTCATAATTGTAACAGACTCTGAAAGCAAGCTGAGAAAGGTGAAGACAGAGATGCTTCGAGCAGAGTGGCAAGCTTCACTGGTAGTGAGCATACTTTAGATCTTTTCGCCAGGCTATGCCGGCGAAGTGGGTAATGAACAGGCTGGATCTGCACCACTAGGTGATGAATTGATACATGACAAGACATATGTGGTCAAGGCTCTTTGGAAACAAGAAACGGAATCAGTAGAGAAACAAGTCGAAGTGCAACTACCTGACAGGCACGGAACCAACAGTCTGCATATAAATAAGCCAGACCTGTAAATGGGATGTGCATACAAAACTCAAGTTCTGGAGAACAAGACTGAAGTTCAGAAGTCAGAAGTTGATGAACAACCAGAACTTTCCATCAGAGTTTACAGACAGTGAATGCTGGGAGGAAGAAGACTTGTATATACAATTTAGTTACACATTTACCTGGACATATCTTGTTTTCATAAGTTTGAAATTCAGTTTTCACACCCAGACATAAACTCCCTCCATGACTTGGAGCAGGATTGTTACACATTCTTTGTCTGAATGCAGTTACTTTTCCACAAGTGGCACTGTAAGTCCACAATGACCACTCACTCCAGTGTCCATCAACTATAAAATAAAAATGTATGGCACAAATTACAAAAACTCTTCATATGAAATGATTTTTTTTTTAAAATCTATAAATCACTGTATCATATTCTCCTTGATCAGACTTCCGATATTATTATGGCAATGAATGACAGTATATACTGTTTGTGATTTCAATTTCAGATCTTTATGTATATGACTACTATTATGTGCACATTTGAAACGCCTGATACACTGTGAGTGTATAATGTGGTTGTGCTATGTCAGAGTGGCTTGTCGACTGACAAAAATCACAGTCTTGACAGGTGTGCTATGATTCCCATGTTTTGTTAGCAACTGTCTACTGCCCAGGCTGACAGAACTTCAGCAGGGCACTGCAACTGTCTACTGCCCAGGCTGACAGAACTTCAGCAGGGCACTGCAACTGTCTACTGCCCAGGCTGACAGAACTTCAGCAGGGCACTGCAACTGTCTACTGACCAGGCTGACAGAACTTCAGCAGGGCACTGCAACTGTCTACTGCCCAGGCTGACAGAACTTCAGCAGGGCACTGCAACTGTCTACTGCCCAGGCTGACAGAACTTCAGCAGGGCACTGCAACTGTCTACTGCCCAGGCTGACAGAACTTCAGCAGGGCACAGCAACTGTCTACTGCCCAGGCTGACAGAACTTCAGCAGGGCACTGCAACTGTCTACTGCCCAGGCTGACAGAACCTCAGCAGGGCACTGCAACTGTCTACTGCCCAGGCTGACAGAACTTCAGCAGGGCACTGCAACTGTCTACTGCCCAGACTGACAGAACTTCAGCAGGGCACTGCAACTGTCTACTGCCCAGGCTGACAGAACCTCAGCAGGGCACTGCAACTGTCTACTGCCCAGGCTGACAGAACTTCAGCAGGGCACTGCAACTGTCTACTGCCCAGGCTGACAGAACTTCTGCAGGGCACTGCAACTGTCTACTGCCCAGGCTGACAGAACTTCAGCAGGGCACTGCAACTGTCTACTGCCCAGGCTGACAGAACTTCAGCAGGGCACTGCAACTGTCTACTGCCCAGGCTGACAGAACTTCAGCAGGGCACTGCAACTGTCTACTGCCCAGGCTGACAGAACTTCAGCAGGGCACTGCAACTGTCTTCTGCCCAGGCTGACAGAACTTCAGCAGGGCACTGCAACTGTCTACTGCCCAGGCTGACAGAACTTCAGCAGGGCACTGCAACTGTCTACTGCCCAGGCTGACAGAACTTCAGCAGGGCACTGCAACTGTCTACTGCCCAGGCTGACAGAACCTCAGCAGGGCACTGCAACTGTCTACTGCCCAGGCTGACAGAACTTCAGCAGGGCACTGCAACTGTCTACTGCCCAGGCTGACAGAACTTCAGCAGGGCACTGCAACTGTCTAGACCAGTGTTTCCCAAACTTGTCTTGATCGCAGGGCTTTTTTTCAATTAAAACCTAAGTAAAAGTATGACTATTTATGTCTCGGTTAAAATAATTTGAAACCTTTTACAATATTTCGTGGTCCCCCTTGTGAAGAGGTCGCGGCTCCCTGGGGCACCGCGGCGCACAGTTTGGGAATCACTGCTCTAGACAGCAAACACAAAAACAAAAATCTGTCACCATAAATGTAATATCTCAACCATTTTATTGGTGGAAAGGAAATGAAGCATACGATTAACTCAGTTCTCTTTCGTTCGCTTGAAACAGATTATCTATATTTGCAATGTTGTCTCTAGTGTGCACTTGCACCTTACTGTCTTTTGTAATTCACTCAGTGACTCATGAAGTTTGGCTTGCACTGGTGGTTCTCTTGGCCAAAAGTTTTGCTTTGATTTAGTTGGTTAACTCAATGACCATACTCTAATATAAACAAACATTGACTTATTCTGACAACCCACCAGTACAAACTATTTTTTTTTAATATTTATTTTCCGTATGTCTGGTGTGGAGCAAATATAGGAAATAAAAATACTGAGCTGCATATTTCTCTGAAACAATATGTCCATTGCCATTAGATATTTCTCAACAGTCTAAGCATAGTATACCTACAACATTTAGAATCCTTGATAGCATTTTAACACCTGTTTTCTCACTGTTGATAAATGATTCAAAGCAGGACTACGTATGTCCATGTTTCACTAGGATACAAAAGTTCATGTTTCCTGTAGCACTTTAGGCAGAAATCAATCAATCAGTCATTCAATCAATCAATCAGTCAGTCAATCAGCCAGTCAGTCAGGTGTTGTCTTCACAATGAAGGTTGACCGCAGTGGATCTCCAACACACTATCTCTTGTCCCAGTAGTACACTTTGTCAGAATGCTGTTGTCCATCTCTTGATGTTTTTCCTCTCACTTGTATCATTATCTACCTCTTGCTCTCTTGCCTTTTCCCTCCAGTATGATTTTTTTTTTTAAAGAATGTCAAGTCTTTTAATGTAGTCAAAATAATTCAGCTCTCTTTATTTCTTTCAGTAACTTTCTCTTGATTTGCAGTATCTTCATAACCTCTGTATTTGACTGCTTTTATTTCCCTGAAACACAACCTTTTCTCCTATATATCCAAATTTTCAATTCAATTCATGTTATCTCACTGTAGCAGATCTCCCTCTTGCAGAAAACTATTATTGCTACTGCCATTTTTACTCTATTTTCAACTAGGCATCTTCTGTGTAATGTTTTATTCCAAAACAATGGTTTGAAAATTTCCCTATCGATTTTCAAAAATTCACATCATTATGCATGAAACAAAAAGGTTAAACATGAAATCAGTATAAGTGAAAACCTACCAGCACAAGGTTTTTCTTCACAACTTTCCCTCTCTGTTTCACTTCCAGGACAATACTGACCCACTAGATTAGGCTTGGGATTATTACATCTCCGAATTCTTGACCTGTGCCCTGAACCACAAGCAACTGAACATAGCCCCCATTCTTCCCACTGAGCCCAGTTTCCATTCACTAAAAAAAGAGAAAAAAAAAGAAATGATTATTTCAAAATAGTTTTTTCTTCTTGCTGTATTCATCACTAAAACTAAATAGTTCTCTATGAAACAATAAGGTATAAGTAATAACACTAGCAAGTCTTAGTGAAATATTATATGACAATAGTATCATGTATAAACATTGTTATATGAAACTGATAAATTATGTTTATACAATTCACTTGTCTTACCTTGTGAGTTTAACAATCAAGCTCATAATTATTTAAACCAATGGGTTAGGAAACTACACCAGTTATTTCAACCAATGGGTTAGGAAACTATACCAATTATTTAAACCAATGGGTTAGGAAACTACACCAATTATTTAAACTAATGGGTTAGGAAACTACACCAGTTATTTCAACCAATGGGTTAGGAAACTATACCAATTATTTCAACTAATGGGTTAGGAAACTTCACCAATTATTTAAACCAATGGGTTAGGAAACTACACCAGTTATTTCAACCAATGGGTTAGGAAACTATACCAATTATTTCAACCAATGGGTTAGGAAACTACACCAATTATTTCAACTAATGGGTTAGGAAACTATACCAATTATTTCAACCAATGGGTTACGAAACTAATCAAGTATTTCAACTCTTAGGCAAGGAAACACACCAAGTATTCCAGCCAATGGACTAGGAAACTACATTAAGTATTTTAACCTTTAGTTGAGTAAAGTACATGAAATATTTCAATGTGTGAACAAGGAAACTACATCAAATATTGCAACCCTTGGTTGAGGAAACAGCAAAAAATATTTCAATGCTTTAACTAGGAAACTAAATCAAGTATTGCAACTCTTGGTTGAGGAAACTACATGTAATATTTCAATAATGTAAAGGAAACTACACCAAGTATTGCAACCCTTGGTTGAGGAAACTACATAAAATGTTTCAATGTTTGAACAAGGAAACTACATCAAGAATTTAAACCCTTGATTGAGGAAACTACTTCAAGTATTTCAATGCTTGGGTGAGAGAACTGCCTCAAGTATCAATCCTTGGATGAGGAAAATCATTAACAAATAAACTTGGCTAATTATACAATTTCTTTATCATTTCATTCCACATACTCTTTTATTTCATGTAAGAATTTATATAGGAAGATTTTATAACCATTTTAATTAATTTACCACTTCTCTTTTTCTAGTAGTTTGCCTTTTAATGTTATTTTTGGTGACACACAGATAAACGGACACACAGACACTTAATAGACTGACAAACTGATAGACATACTTCTTTAACATAAAGGAAGTGCTTGCAAATTTATATTTTTAATGAAATTCTTACCAATTATGTCATGACACAGGTTTCCAGCATAACCTGAAGGACATGAACAAACATACGTCTTGTTTCTAGGGTTGTTAACACATGTGGACCCCTCTGCACAGCTGTGATCAAGGCAGAAATCTGGCACCACTTGACACCGATCACCTGACCAGGGTTGGTCACAGAGACAAGCAAAACTACCAGGCTGATCAATGCAGGTACCAAACTCACCACAGGGGTTGCCAGCACAGTCGTTCACATCTTGACAGTAAAAAGATAAAGTTTAAGAAGCCTTTTATTTTTGCAGTAAAATAAAATGTGACCAGTGTTGCCTACTGAACTATTACTATAATAAGTAATGTCACAGAACAACAAATAATTTATGTATAGTAATTTTGTCATATTAATTCTTGCAGCTGTAGAGCATAGATAGATTAGTGAATGAATAGATTAACAAATTAATTAATCAATGAGCCAAGAATTTGCATCACTTTTTTCTGAACAGTGCCATATGTTCTTCTTCTTCTTTTGTTCACATGAAATAGATTATCTATATCTGCAGTGTTGTCTCTAGTATGATCTTCACTGTCTTTTGTTATTTACGCAGCAACCCGTAAAGTTTTGATCATTCTTTTTTTAGTAGGAACTAAAGACTTTCCCTGTTGACAGTTCCAGCGGCAACCTGACTAAAATTCCACCTGTCTTCATCTTGCTTTTTAAGTTTGTCCATATATTCTGCTTTAGATCTACAGCTTTTAGTACATTATATACTATGTAGTACATTATATACTATAAAGTCATATAAAGTGAGAATGGCAAATGCTTTGCATCCTAAACATTAAAGTATGGTGCAGAAATAAAATCAATGAACAAATATTAAAAAAGTTCAACTAAGGACCTGAAGATGTGGAGACAAAGACAAACACTGCAGGTTATGGAAATAAAAACACATATTTTGAAGAAACGGAATGAAAAGAGCTATTGGAAGAAATTATGATAAGACAAGTAAAATACTGTAATCACACAAAAAGACTTAGAGCTCTTATAAAGTTCACCCTTGCAGTAATGGTTTTAGTCAGACAAGCAACAGGTAGACATGGAAGTGTGGTGGCTGCCAGCTTGGTATTCAGGTGTTCAAATTCCTTTCTAGACAAGGATTGTTCCCAAGATGACCTGGGCTCAGTTGGTCCCCGCCCCCCCCCCCCACCCCCACCCCCCAATATTGTTGTAACATTTCCAGACAACGATTGTTCCCAAGAGGACCTGGGCTCAGTTAGGGCCCCCCCCCCTCCATAATATTGTTTTAACATTTCCAGACACGATTGTTCCCAAGAGGACCTGGGCTCAGTTGTTGGCCACCCAAATATTTTTGTAACATTTCCAGACAACGATTGTTCATAAGATGACCTGGGCTCAGTGGTTGGCTAACCCAAATACTGTTGTAACATTTTAGACAACAGTGTTACACTTTGCTATAGGGAGACATCGGAATCCAAGCACATGATGATGGTGAGTATCACTAACAAGACCCACTCAAGTTAAGAAAAGTCTTCCACAGTTAGAGCTTGGGATTTCAGGATCACTGTGTGCTCAATTTACCTCTTATTACAAACTCAGCTGTTAACCTATCTGCAATCATTTTCTTCTTTATCCATGTTCGCTATGTGACTTTTTCTTCTAGCAGCATGGTCTGTTGAACTATGCTAAGATTTCAGTACATTTTTTGTGGGGCTATCTTCCGAATAACGGTCCCAAATTATCGAGGCTGAAAATATACCCTAACAGGGCCTCAGTTACATGCAAATATATTCTCTACAAGCAGTAGGGATATCCTAGGTTTGACCAGTTAGTATTCCAGTAGAAACTTAGCTAAATTGATCAATGGAGAACAGGAATAGCACCACATCCATCATAGAGGCCTGTAGTCTTCTCATCTGGAAACCATTGGCAGGGAGAACAAAAAGAAGAAAAAGAAGAAGATATATTGACCTCTTCACTCATCAAGGGCTGATTGGTCTCAAAACCAATTGACTAGCATGGCATATAACTCATTGCATTAACAGTTTGACTTTATAAAAGTTTGCACATACCATCACAAGTACTGAGAGTTACCAAAGTGGTGTCTATTTTGCTGATTCCTAGGATGTTCTTCTCTACCTGACCATTACAGGATGTTGAAAAGTTTAGCACTTCCTCCTCCAACAGAGCTGAAGAAGTCATCTGGACACCACTAACGACAACAGCTGTGAAATAAAATAGTTAATAAATTATTCTTTACAATTATATAATGTCAGACAATGGAGAGATTAAAACGCACAACACTCAGGGGAAGGATGAAACGGATATACAATCAGACGGTTACTAGTACCATCGGAATTGGAACTCTTCGCTTGCTGCTGAAGATGAGGACTGAGCACTTATGGGAGTGTCGAGTGCTGTGATGTCGATTCCTAATTCAACAGTCTGTCACTATCAATGCACCAGTTGCTTTCTGTCCCACCAGCTGTGCACGTGCCCCTCACCTATCTCTATCATCATACTAAATGTAGTTGAATTGAATGCCTGACTTTCTTCTGTAACTGTCTTCCCTTTCCCCTGCACTGTGTATACCCACCTAGACCACAAATCAGTGAGCCATCTATAATGATGACAACAAGAATATTTTGGCCACATTCAATGCCACAGTGGCTTACAAACAACGGTAATGGAAGGCACGGTTCCTGTAGGAAGTGGCACTGGCTGATCAACACAACGATAGACATGGGTTAATAGTGACACCTTGGGTATGAAAATTAATACGGGAGGATAAGGAGTTGGCAAGAGACAGAGATGCTGGTTCTTTTCTGTTATTTCTACACATCACGCTGGCTTCGAGATTTGGTAGGGAAATCCACAGACTGTCTCATAGTAAAAAAAAGGGGAGGGGCGGTTTCGGTTAGTAGTAGTCGCTATTAATCTAACCCTAACCCCTCATACTATGGGACGGTCTGTGGATTTCCCTACCAAATCTTGAAGCCCGCGTGATGTGGTGAAATAAAAGAAAAGAACCGAGGCTTTTTCTAATGAGCTGTGATGAGAGTGATGTTCTGCAAAGGATCTGGTGCCCGATGATGGAGATGCATAATTACAAGCAGAAGGCTGTAATGTAACTGAAAAAAAAAAATCACACGCAATTTAGTCTTAATTATGAAAGGTTACTAGAAGATTAGCTGTAACAGTAACTTTCACTACTGTCTGTATTTACCATTTTAAGGGAAGTTTAGACAGGGAGCTCAGGAACCTGAAGATTTAGGTCTGCATGGCCAGTGCTGTCGCCATGAACTGTGCAGGTTAGGATGTCTATATTTGCCCCAGACTGAAAAACTCTATCACCTTACCGGAGGTAGAACTCAGGACTCCCGCATGAGAGCCCCACTGTGTAACCACTCAGCCAGCTGCTTCTCATTTTCAAATTAGCTAATCCAAATAAATAAATGTTATGTTACACTGGGCAAATCGACGTCACTGCACGCTGAGTATTCTCATGCATACGCCATCTTCTAAAGCAGCAGCCATATCAAGACACCTCATCGAATTGTTCACTTGAGAAGTTGGTTACAATGCCTTCTATCTTGACCTCGAGGACAGCACTGATGTGATTCACCAGGCTTCACTGCGAGGTCATTTAACTGTGTTAGCATCAGAGATTCGTCATTATCAGCCAGCTTAATACATACAGTGTTGATAATATCAGCTCTGTTCATGCATCGTCCGGCATGTAGCTATAGGGATGATTTGAGCAGAGTGGCAAGCTTCACTGGGAAGGTTACGGGTAGTAAGAATACTTTGGATCTTTTCTCCAGACATGCCGGTGTGGCGGGTAATGAGCAGGCAGACAGGTTGGCTTGATCTGCACCAATGGGTGGTGAATTGATACATGACAAGGCAGATGTGGTCAATGCACTTTTGGGAACAAGCAACAGAATCAGTAGAGAAACAAGGTTACTATGGCCTGGAGAGAATGAGTCACCTGGTTGTAACCAGAGGGTCTGGACGGCTAACTACTCAGAGGACAGGCAAGACGGACATATAACCAGATTGTAACCTGTACTAACAGTATTGGAATTCTGCGCTGGCTGCTGAAGATGAGGACAGAGCACACATGGAAATACCCCGAGTGCTGTGATGTCAATTCTTGACTCAACTCAACTCAACCGGCATGTAGCTTAGCGGTACTAGCCAGCTGATATGCTCAATCATTACCTTTACTCCAGCATGCTCAGGAGTGTAGATCCAGGTAAATAAAAGTTACATTTAAATAAAAGTTACATGTTCAAAGATTGGCTGTAAATTTTATAGACAAGTATTGCACTCACATTTTAATAAATCAGAAGGTGAGAACATAAATTTTGTATTTGTAAATTCTGCCGTGTGAGGAGTTTCCGCTCTCATAACTTCTTTGCCATGAACATACAAAATAGTTGTTTCATTCATAAGCACAAGAGCCACATGATACCATTTCCTGGAATGGATGGGAGAAGTTTGTATTAAATACATCACGTATGTTACTTTGTCAACAACAGACACTTTAATGTGCATACATATAGTCAGTTAGCAATGTACTTAAACAAGAAGACACAAATTAATGCTGTCTTCCTCTTTCTTTCTTTCCAACGTTCACAATATGTTCCGTTTTCCCTCTTCTCATAACATGGCAGAAAAATGATAATTGTCTTTTTCTGATATTTGTGATAAGTTGTCTTCAAGCTTTCCCCTTTTTCAAAACATCTGGGCTGCTCTTCTTAGCTGTCCAAGGAACTCTAAGGATTCTTCTGTAAAACCGCTGAAGCCTCTCGATATTGTTCAACTTGTTTATTAATGGTCCAGGCTTCACAACCGTAGGGTAAAACTAGCTCTATATAGTATGCAAGAATTCTTTTCTAACCTCAGATGACATGGATTTATTGCATAAAATGTTCTTCATTTTGTAAAATGCAGTTTTGGCTTGTCCTACTCTATCCTTTGTCTCTGTGATACATCTTGCATCTGATGTTATCTATGTGCCTAGATACTTAAATTTCTGTACTTGTCCTTGAAAAAAAAAAACACCTTTGACTTTTATTTAGTCACGATTCTTTTCTTGGAAATCATCATGAGAAAGGCAATTTTTTGTTATTTGAAGCCCCACCCCGGCTTTTGCATGGGGCCCTAAATATAGCAGGGCCATAGATATGGCCTAACATCTGAACGGGGTTTCTGAGACCTCTCAGCGGTTGATCCTCATTCGCACTTTGTGTCACCGGGTGTTTATCGCTTGTGTGATGTCCTGGTGGGGTAAAATTGCTTACTTACTAAAAGTGATAAATAGTGTTATTGCATGTGAGACAAGAACAAAAAGCAGACAAACTAACAGACATTTACTCGCAGTGGAAATGCCACTTTTGAGAAGAATGCAAAAAACAACATGGAAAGAAAAAAAAGGGGGAGGGGAGGAGTTCTCCTTCTTCGTGTTCATGGCTGTAAACTCCAGCAGAAAGTTCTGGTTGTTTGTCCACTTTTAGACTTTAGTCTCACTCCAGAATGTGATTTTTCATGCACATCCATTTTACAGATTTGGCTTATCTGTGTGCAGACTGTTGGTTCCTTGCCCCTCAGGCCCCTCTTTCAGAAATGAAAGCCGTAAACCGGTTAGGAAAACTATACGCTCTGTGTTTTTCAGACATAACGAAATGTAATTTTTTTTTAAAAGTAAAGGTCCCTTTTCCACGCCTTTAGGCGTATAGGGCATATAGGGCTAGACCTATATATTTTATAGACCAATCGGGACAAGATGTTTGATATGGTCTGCATCACGCCGGCCGCCTGTACTTCCCGGGACTACACCCGGTACCAACAAGGCTGGGTCGACCTGGGAGTAAAGGCCATTTTTTGAAGAAAGTCTTGCTACGATATTTAATGGACTCAAGAAATTGGTGTTAACTGATACGACTGATGGACAAAAAGCCAGGTGAAAGCAAAGAGTTAAATACCTGGATACTTAGCCACAAGGATGGAGAAAGGCAAGAACACTGACCTGATATTTGATTCTGGTGATCGTGTGAGATGGTGAAACATGGCAGCCTATGCTTATCAGAACATGATAGTGCTTATATCCACCCAAGACATACATCACAATACAACAGTTAGGACATTTTTTTTTCTCACGTACCTTACACCTGAAATATTTCCTAAATTGCTGGGTGTTACAAACAGTTTGACACTGCCCAGGTTGAAATATGCAGACATGTTCTTGGTGTGACTGCCATCTAATGAAAAATCGAGAACCTCCTTTTGGTTGCTGGAAACTGGGTGTGCCCACATTAGTAAAGTAAAGCTTGTGGGGTAAAGATCAGGCAGCTGAACAATGGCGTGAGATGTATCTTTGTCCATCCGGACATTGTAAACTGCAAAGTTAAACATGAATATGATAATTTTTATTGGATGTTGTTTGAACATTAAAAGACAATAAATATATCTGTCAAAATCTGTATACTACTACAACGACTTTTTTTTTTTTTTTTTGCCTTCTAGCTCCCAATGTAGCAAAGGCTTTCAACCAACTCAGGCCAAGTCGTTCTGTCTTCTCTATCACATGCAGCTCTCCCCATGTCATCCCCATCTTTTTTGACTTAACTCATTAGTTACCTTCTCCATATGTTTGTGGTCTTCCCTTAGTTCTACGCCCCTGTGGATTCCAGGGCAAAGACATTCTAGTTATCCTGTTCTCAGGTTTTATCAGTGTGTGTCCTATTCAACACCAGCACTATTTCTTAACCTCTTGGTCCACTAGAACTTGTTTAGCTCTCTCATAAAGCTCTACCCTAGTGAATCTATTATACCATTTAATCCCCTCTATTCTGTACAGGCGCAAGTTAATTAATGTTTGTAGTTTTTTTTTAGCAACTGTCTTAGTTGTTCTCCATGTTTCCACTGCATACAACAATACTCATTTGATTTTTAAGTTTTGTGTTGATTTTAATCTCTTTTGACTTCCACAAATTTTCTAGTGTTATGAAAGCTCCTCTTGTCTTTTGTATTCGTATTTTAATATCTCTATCAGTCCCCCAATCTTTATTTACACTGCTACCCAAATAAGTGTACGATTCCACTGTTTGCAGTGGGATACCATTAAGAGTAGCCACAATATCATTTGCCTGATTTATTTCCATTATCTGTGTCTTTCCCTTATACATTTTCAGACCAAGCTGCTGTGATCTCGCATCAGGTATATATTTTTTTTTTTGGCACTTAGTCCCGTGAGTGGGACAGAAGACAGGTATCATCAGCGACGTCCAGATTATCAACCTGTTTTGTACTCCTGGTGTTAGCACATCCTTACTGCATACTTCTTTTTATTTAAAATTATCTGTTAGCTTTCCCTCACGAAGAACTTGACATATCCTTTTATGTTACCTTTACTAAGTTAATAATTGTGTTTGTATTGGCCTTAATAACTTCTGCTGGGATACCATCTGGACATGCCGACTTTCCTTCCTTTAGAAGAATGATAGCTTTCCTAATTTCCTCTGTATGTATTTCACAGTTGATATCCGGTTCTATTTCTAAAGGCTGGATATCTGGAGGAACCTCTGGGGCTGGTCTATTTAGTATTTCAAAATATTCTGCCCATTTGTCCATTTGATCTTTAGTGTTAGTAAGTACCTTTCCTTGACTATTTTTGATTGATCCAGCTGGTTAACTATATTTACCTACTAATTTTCTTGTGTTACTGTAAAGGTTTCTGAGGTTTCCTTTTGCTGCTGCTGTCTTCGCTTCATGTGCTAGGTCATCTAAATATTTCCTTTTATGTGCTCTTATTAACTTCTTAACTTCCTTATTAGCTTCTGTACATTTCTCCTGAGCTCTAACTTTAGCAGCTTTTTTTTTTTTAATCTGCTTTTTCACTTTTCTTTTCCTAGGTCAGTCTAATGTTTCTGGTGTTATTCACGCTTTATGGTCCGTTCTTTCTTACCAAAGACTTCTACACAGGATTCATTCCAAATTCCCTTTATTTGATCACAGTAGACGTTAGTGCTCACCTCTTCAGCTAACTGCTGTAACACCTGATACTTATCAGATATCTGTATACTTTTCATCATCATCATTGCCCTGCCATCTGACGTAAGCGCTCATGCGTCTCCACAGATCACGATCCCTGGTTGCCTGGAGCAGCTCTCTTGATGATATCCCTCCATACCATCGTTTCAGCCCATCCAGGATCATCTTTCTTGGTCTGCCTCTATCCCTTTTTTCTACTGATCTTTCCAGTTGTCACGATGTTCTCCAATGTCTCTCTTATCAGGATGTGGCCAAACAACAGTGTTTGTCTTTTTCTTATTGTTGTATATAGAGATATACTTTCATAATCTGTATACTGCTATATTGATATACTGCACTATTAAAGACATGAAATTATTGTGAAAATAAAATCAGCTTTACAGTCAATTATGAATAAATTATGATTAATAAAGGGAGATATGCAAAACTCTTCATTTCTTATAAAAAATAGATTTTGTTCTACAAATTGCACTGACTGACAAGGTTTCTGACCAAGAAAAAAGAAGATGCACATTGTAGTCTTCTCTTGCAGTCATCCTTTTATTTTGTCGGGGGTTGGGGAGGGGGGGGGGAGTATTCCAAGTTTGTTTTTCTCTGCCAGTAACATGACACAAAATGGCAGCTGTCTCTTCCTGATGTCAATGATAAAGTGTTCTTGTGTCTCAGATTCTAACATAACATTTAGAATTTGAGTTTTGAAAGCACCAGGAAAGTTGTGGAAGTCCAGAGAAATTAAAACATACTAAACTAAAAATTTTGTTCTAGTGTCAAATCAATACTGTTGTATGGAGCTGAAACATGGGGAATAACCAAAACAATTACTAATAAATTACAAACATTTATAGACTGGTACCTGCACAGAACATAATAAATTATATGGTATAATAGAATCACTAATGTGGAGCTCTGGGAGAGAACGAAACAAATTCCGGTGAACCAAGAGGTAAGGAAATAAAGAGAGAATAAAAATAAATATAGAGAAATTAAAAACAAGAGGAAAGCAAATCAAAAACCTCCGTGAAAGGAAACTGGACAAGGGAACTGTTTGTAACTGGAGATTGAAGTTAACAAACATGGGAAAGGCCAAAAGGACAAAGGTCACATTCAGCCATGCCCTTCTTTTCTTGATAGCTGCCTTTTTGACAAGGAGAACAGGGTTCCAAGCTGGTGAGCTGCATGACACAGCCAAGGATAAGGATGGCATGGAGTGAGTTGGTTGAGAGCCAGTGCTCCAATGGGGAATTATGGCAGAAAATGTTGAGATTACTGATTTGAGCTGTCTGGGGTATTTTCAGAATTCTTCTGCAAAACCAAATTTCTCTGGCTTCAAAGTATTTTTGTTTGTTGTTTGTTGTTGTTGTTGCTTATTCACTAATCAACCGGACTTCACGCATCAAACGGTGATACTATATAACACAGACTGATATACAGGGTGTTTGTAAAGTATCACTACACTTCCTATGTAAAACAAATCTGCAAAATGGAATACATGACATCATCAACAAATGTGCTCCACAGAGAATTGTGAAGCAACATGCAGTGAATGACGGTTGTCCGCCGGAGTAATTCTATGCACTCAAAACAGAATGGTGTTATCAACAAAAGAATTTTTTTTTTTGCGTGTAAAAAAGGTGGGGGGGGGGGGGGGGGTTTAACAAGTGTTTTGAAATGACTGTCGATACACAGAGATGGTTGTTCAAAGACTATAGCAAGATTTCCTGATAAACAACCTCCTCATCGCTTTACAGTTGGGAATCGCCATGACGTTAGCGGCTTGGTCGTGGTACGGATTTATGGCGGAGCCGGACTTTTTTAACAATAACCATGACTGCCATGTCGACAAAGCCTTGAGTGTGTACCAGGTGCAGTCCTGGGAAGTAAAGCCGGCTGGCATGATGCTGACCACATCACCCACCAAGTGCCGATTGGTCTATAAAATATATGTCTAGCTTTATATACCGAATACACCTAAAAGCGTAGAAAAGGGGTCCTTTACATCGCATTACAGTTAGAAATTTGTTGAATAAGTTGTAATGGTACTTTCCAGCTTACCCAAAACAGAATCAGAACATAGAAGTGACTTCTTCTTCTTCATCATTCTGAGTCCTTGAGGTTCATTGCTGCATATATCACCCGCCTCCATTCATCTCTCTGGTTGGCCTTCTCTTTCCAGCTGGTGACACCAAGTGTTTGCAGGTATGTCTGGATATTATCTCTCCATCGTCTTCTTGGTCTCTCTCGTGGTCTACGACCATTTATCTCCCTGGAGTATACAGTTTTTACGTCTCTGTCATCTGACATTTTTTCAATATGCCCATACTATTTCTATCTATTAGCTGTCATGATGCCAGTGATCAACGGTGATTTAAACAGATTATGCTTCTCACTCTCCGTTCCCCTCTGTTTGCATCTGTGATGGGTCCAAAGATTTATCGTAAGGCTCTGTTTTCGGTAGAAGTGACTACTGTAACTAATTTAATTACCTTTTGAGCATATTTTGTGATGGCGTCATGTCCTTGTTCCCCCCCCCCCCTCTAAATTTTTTCTGCATACAAAGAAAAGTGAGACTTTAAAAATACCCTACAATGTACATACAAAGACAATCCGAGCTAGAAGTAGAACTTTCTAATGAGGTCATCATGCCAAAAGGACAAAATTCGCATTCAGCCATGCCCTTCTTTTCTTGATAGCTGCCTTTTTGACAAGGAGAACAGGGTTCCAGTCCGGTCACGGAAACCTCACCAGGCTTGCACAAAACTGAAATATAATAACAGCAAATGATTTTATCACACTGCAGTGGAAAAACCCCACCTTAAATCTGTAGAAATTAAAGTTTTAATCCCTGCTTATAAAAATGATTTTTTTAAAGGGGATTCTTCCCAACTTTGGCGAGACAAACATTTAATGAAAGACTCAGATTTGCAAAGATCGTTAGGCACTTGATGGGGGACGTGGTCAACAATAAGGCATCTGATTTTCCGTTTCAGGACATTACGTAGCTCCCTTTTTTTGGGATGGGTCACTCTAGGAGTCAAGGTCAATGTTGCAAAAATCTGCCTTGGTAGGATTTTGAACCCAGGAGCTCTGAGCCAGCAGTTAAGTTAGCTGCATATCCTTTACAGGACGTTGAAGAACCAATCCCAGCAATTAGTGTGTGTGTGTGTGTATGTGTGTGGCTGTTGTGGTTTTTCTAGGGAAATTTTACGTTCAGTAGTTTGCCACAGCTACTGAACGGTCAGCTCTCAGTACCACTGAGCTGGACATTCTGCTTCCAAATCACCTGCAGCTGGGATCGAACACGGCCCCCCATAATTACGAAGCGAATTTGCAACGCTTAAGCCAAAGATGCCGAGCATCAGACAAGTGTATGATGCCTGCCTATACACCTTTATATTTTGTAGCAGTCTATTCTACAGCTTAACATACACTCTACTACACTAAGAAAAATACATGGGTGTTTGGATACTCCGTGTTCATGTTGTATCATTTGTGTCAGCAGTAACTTTGAGGTGACAAAATTTCCATCCAGTCTGTCAGACGCAAACAAAATCTGGCCAGAGATGACTACCACTTACCTGGCCGGCATGGATAGGTCCTCATTCTAAACCTTAATACAGGGCATAACAAGCCTAATAAGCATATGCACAGGTTTCATCTGAGTAATTCACCACTGTGCCTGTAAGGGCTGTGTGTGCAGACTATAGAACATGTCCTGCAAGATTATCCCCTCTCCAGCCCATTAGGAAAGAAATACTGCCCAATGAGTCAACACAATACTCAGTGGTGTATGGAAGTAAAAATGGAACTCCTAAAAGCAATCAATTTTATCACAGTCATCACCTGTCGGTGTAAATCAAAGAACAATCATAAGAAGAAGAAGAAGAAGAAGAAGAAGAAGAAGAAGAAGAAGAAGAAGAAGAAGAAGAAGAAGAAGAAGAAGAAGAAGAAGAAGAAGAAGAAGAAGAAGAAGAAGAAGAAGAAGAAGAAGAAGAAGAAGAAGAAGAAGAAGAAGAAGAAGAAGAAGAGAAGAAGAAGAAGAAGAAGAAGAAGAAGAAGAAGAAGAAGAAGAAGAAGAAGAAGAAGAAGAAGAAGAAGAAGAAGAAGAAGAAGAAGAAGAAGAAGAAGAAGAAGAAGAAGAAGAAGAAGAAGAAGAAGAAGAAGAAGAAGAAGAAGAAGAAGAAGAAGAAAAAGAAGAAGAAAAAGAGAAGTAGAAGAAGAAGAAAAAGAAGAAGAAAGTCAGTAGTCAGTTTCCCTAGCTAAGAAAAGCATTATCACACTGTAAGTCAATGTCGATGCAAAAAACAGAGACTCCTGTCTGTTTATGGAAGTTTTCTAGCTGGTGTCTCTTTTGGTTCCTTAATGTTCCTGTGTGTATGATTAGTTCGGAGCCACCCTGATGTAGCAGCTGGATGCTCACCTGCAGATCCTGAGGTCATGGTTTCAAATCCTAACAAAGCCAGACTTAAAAAAAATTCACCTTGGTCCTAAAGTCAACCCAGCCTTAAATAGGCACCAGGTAAAGTCATGGGAAGTAAAGGCAGCTCAACATGATGATGACCACATCACAAACCAAGTGCCAATCAGTCTATAAAATTAGGTCTAGCACTATATGTCCAATATGCCTTAAAGCATAGAAATGGGCCCTGGCCTAATAACAGAATATTTGACAGCTGTCACTACAGCTTAATACGACACAACATAATCTTATGAAAGGTCACAAATTAATCATTTATTTCCTCACTAATCTTAAGGTTATTAAAACAAAAAGTAATATAATTTGAATGTGCACATGTGGATTGGCACCTGAGACAACAGATCATGTCCTGCAAGACTGTATAGAATACAACATATCAAGCAAAACTGTTGGCCAAGAGAAACATCGGTGCAATTCAAACTTTATGAGTGGCTGAGTGAATTACACAAGACAGTGAAGTTTATACTAGAGTCAAACATTGCAGATATATATAATCTATTTCAAGCGAACGAAAGAAGAAGAAAAAGATATCATTTGAAGCACGCACTATTAGTCGGGCACAGTAAATTATTTCACATAGTGACAATTAAAAAAAATGAAACTTACTTAAGCACTGATCTTCTGAAGCAGATTGTGTGTCCGCTGTACTCATACCCTCAGGACACTGAGTACAGGATGTAGAGCTGTCACCACTTTGATACGTTCCCCGAGGACAGGGAATGCAAGAGTTTGTGGAGTTGTCCAACATGTGTCCTGTACCACAGCCAGCTAAAGGAAATATGTGACAGGTGGTCAGCTTCATAGAAAAAAAAGGGGTTAGATCGTGTGCACTTTTCTCACACTGTCTGACATTCTTCTTCCTCTTCATTTCCTCATTTACTGCTTCTGGTGTCAAGGGAGATATGTGATACTGCTTCTTGCTCTTCAATGGACACATTGTACTGTTGTTCTATGATGTTATCTTTCCATGCTGTTCTTGGTCTGCCTTTTTCTCTACACTCCATTTTATTTTTGATGTATGCATTATATGAATGGTATCAGAATGTATTCGTTCCGTCTGGGCAAACTGGTTTATTTGCTCTCTTTGTATACAGTTTAGTATTGATTTTGTACTGACTTTTTCTCTTATGACCCTCTTCCAGATTCTATCTATTCCAGTCTTCGCTTGCTGCTGAAGATGGGGACGGAGCGCTTATGAGAGTGTCCTAAGTGCTATGATGTGGATTGATTCATAATTCAACATTTAACAACTATCTCTTGTAGTCACTACTGCAGCCTTTCTCCGACATCTCATTTATGTGGTTACTAATTTTGGCTGACCGACTGGCAGGTTGATGGGAAAAATTACAGGATTTTTGGCCGTTTACTTTTTGGTCTACTGACACGGGCTAATCTATGTTACAGGGGTGTCACGCCGTCTTGTCTCCGATGCTGTCACCGTTGATCTCGTATGCTCTTACTACATGATGACACCACTTTTAACGACCCCAGAACATATAGAGCTGGCCCTAACCCCACCAACCCCCCCCCCTCATCCTACAGCCTCAGCTTAGGTCCCATGAGAGATTCCAGAGTACGTCCCAACTGTTAAAATGTTCCACTGTGCCCTAAAAACCCGTCTTGCTGCAGAAAAGCAACGCTCTTCAACGCTGACAGCTGACCTAAATTCATGTCGTACCTGAACTCGGTTTATATGCAATGTCACCGCCCGCTCACAACAATGAGTAAAACACACTGCGTAGCTCGCCGCCTATACTGCGCACAATAAACAAGGCTCTTCGCCAACACAAGACAATGTGACCCCCTGTAACATAGACTTGCCCGTGTCACAGGTGAGAATGCCTGAATGAAAGCCCAATTACGCTGTGTTTGGACCGGACATCATAATAAGTTCCAGTAATTTTACATAAAGTAGTTTACCATTGCTTCCTCACTTATTTATGCTCCTGAAGAATTAGAGCAATACATGCACGACAATACATTTTTTTTTTTAGTTTATGACTCACACTTCAATTTACAGCAAAGAAAGATTGCATTTTGTTTTCTACAGTCTTGTTTAAATGTAACAAATAGTTAGGAAAACTGCTCAGTTTTAGACGTTTTTAGTCTTAATTTAAACTTTGAATACTTACAGCAAGACATTGTGCTCTGGACTAAAAGTTTCCCTGAATCACACGTGAAGACGGGCTGTGCATAATCTAAGCTTTCAAATGTTCCTATGTCGGGTATGTTAAAGATGTCTTGCTCAGCACTTGATATTAATGCCAGATTAATTCGTTCCACCACTTCATCATAGTGCTCCATAGTCTCAGATGGGCTCCCTTTGTCTTCGTAGTCCCCCAAGTCGATCTGTACAAGAATCTAGGTGAGGAAAATAAATGTGTCGATAGATTTATGTGCATAAAACTGTCTTTGCTGTTTGTTTTTACCATTTTTAGTAAAAAAAGTAAAAAGTAAAGGACCCTTTTCCACGCCATCAGGCGTATAGGGCATATTGCACTAGAACTATATTTTATAGACCAATCGGCACAAGATGGGTGATGTGGTCAGCATTACGCCGGCCGCCTTTACTTTCCCAGGACTGCAACCGGTACCCACTCAAGGCTGGGTCGACCTGGGAGCCAAGGTCATTTAAAAAAAAAAGTCCGGCTCCGCCAGGGAGCGAACACCATTTTTAGGGCAGTGTAGAAGTTCTGAAGCAGATTATTTTCTTCTTCTTCTTTACGCTCACCGGCTGTAAACTGGTGGAAAGTCCAGGTTGTTCATCCACTCCTGAACATTGGTCTTCATCCAAAACTTAAATTTGCATGCATATCCATTTGTACAGATCTGACTTAATCATATGCAGGCTGTAGATTTCTTGCCTCTCATGCAGAAACAACCCTAATAAATCGCTTCCTATGACATGCTTGTTATGTGGGCGGCAGGTCTATTCTTTGTTCTCCAAAATGAAGCCCCGGAACCCACACAAACTTAGAGGATTTAAGACCACACTGATAGTGCAGTCACAATTAACTGTGCAGGTTAGGATTGTTATTCCCCTCCCCCCCCCACCCCCCACATATTATGATATGCATCCTTTACCGAGGACTGAACTTTGGTCTCCCACATGAGACCACTTGGTTGGCTGCTTCTGTTTGTTTTGTGTAGCGTGGGCTAAATTAAATTATACATTTTGTACCTCATCCATGTGATAACAAGTTCCATAAGGAAGCTGGCTGCATATCCTCTTCAGGGATGTTTCAAACCAACCCCAGCATGTGTTGGTTGGCTATGATTTATCAGGCAATGTTATGTTCAGTAATCTGCCAATGCTTTCTGAAAGGTGCTCATACTATTGTCAAAACCAATATAAAGCAGTGCACTTTTCATTTTCTTCTTATTCTCCCTTAATCCTCCGGTGGAGCTTAGACCCTTAACCACCTCATGACTTCGAGGGAGTTATGCCCCTTAAACAAACAAAGGCAGCCGACCTTCTTCACGATGCCAAGAATACTCACGTCACAACTTGCAAAATTTCAATTGTTCTGTGGCTACCATTTAATTGCCTTTAGTATTTTTAAGCAGCGAGCCGGCATAGTGTCGTGCTAGATGCTCGCCTGTGGATCCGAAGGTCTTAGGTTTAAATCTGAATGGAGACAGACGTTTAAAAAAAAATAACCTTGGCTCCGAGGTCGACCCAGCCTGGGAAGTAAAGGTGGCCAGTCTGATGTTGACCACATCACCCCCGAGAGCATATCTCTACAAAAGTCAGGTCTAGCAATGTTTGCCCAGTACGCCTGAAGCTGTGGAAAAGGGTTCTTTCCTTATTTTCAGGGAGCTTACCTCGAGCCTTATACTGTTCACACCCACGGTTCGTTTTTTACGACGATGCGAGGAACACAGGATGGTCACTTCACTGATGTTACATTTCAGACTTCTTTTGCAGACAACTTTCAAAGCTGTATTTAGTGCTGTGGTAAGCTTCTTCTTGATTTCTATATTCTGATCATCGCAGCTGGAGGCAAGATAGTAAAAACTAAGCTTTGCCATAAATCTCTTGGGCTTGCGTCTCTCTGTACAAATGAAAGATTGGCTGTTATATTGAATTAGGCATATGTCATTTTACCAAAAACAGTATAAACCCTTACAAATGCATAGATGTATGTTAAACATAAGTTACCGGAAGTCGCCATGGCATAGCGGTTAGACGCTCGCGTGCGAATCGGAAGGTTGTGGGTTCGCTACTTGTCAGAGCCAGACTTATTCAAAAACGACCTTGACACCTAGGTCGACCCAGCCTTGAGTGGGTACCGGGTGCAGTCCCAGGAGGAAAAGGCGACTGGCATGATGCTGACACATCAACCATCTTGTGCCGATCGGTCAATACAATTATAGGTCTAGCCCTATATGCCTAAAGGCGTGGGAAAAGGGACCTTTACTTTAAAAAACTGAGGCTATTATCCCAGTTGTAACTGAACATGCCACACTATAGATAGAGACATCTCTAAGTAACTATGATCAGTGAGCCATTTTACCAACCTGTGGTTCAATCCCCACTGGCAGTAAATATTTATTTTACTGGCTGTTACCTATGTGGCCACCAGGGTCCTTTTTGGGTGGGGGGACCCACTGCCTTCCTAACCAGTTAAAGTTAGTTGCGTAACCTTTACAGGACGTTGCAGAACCAGCCCCAGCATTTATTGGCTGCTGTGGTTTTTCTAGGCAAATTTTACGTTCAGTAGTTTGCCATTGCACTGAACGGTCAGCTCTCGGTACTACTGTCGAAACCAGCGAAAGACAAATTGTCCGCAGCTGGGATCGAATCCGGCACCCAGGCATTACAAAGTGCGTTCTCAACGCCTAAGCCACAGACGCCGACCTAACAAGAATATCCTAAAAAGCGACTAAAAATGGATCTTTCCGCAAAGGTCAGAGTGCATCTGCCTGAGCAACGTGGAACTAACAGTCTGCGTAAGTCACATCTGTAAAATAGATGTACACACACAGTTCAAGTTTTTTTAACAAGACTACAGTCCAGAAGTAGAAGTAAAACCAGAACTTTCTGCCTGGGCTTAAAATGTATGAACTATATCAGTTGTCCCCTCATGGAATGCAATTTTTTTTTTTAATTTTCAAGCCTTACCCTGGCTATTGCCAGGGGCCCTGAATATAACCGGGCCATAAATATGGCCTAGCCATAGATGTGACCTGACGGCTGAAAGGGTGGTTTCTGGGACCTCTCCATGGGTGAACCTCATCCGCATGGTGGCACTTTGTGTCACCGGGTGTTTATCGCTTGTCTGATGTCCTTGTGGGGTGCAACTACCTACCTACCTGCTTGAGCTTAAAGCCGGTAAATGTTAAGAGGAAGACTGACCAAGTTACTTTAGCTTTGTTCTGAGACTGGCCGTCTCATCAAAAATATAATATAATTTTTATTATGGAAAGCTAACAAATGATATTTAAAGACAAGTGATCAAAAATAGCAGACTGGATTTTATCTTAGCTTGTTGTGTCTCCACAGAATGGCTAGTCGTATGACGAGACCACCACACAAAGAATCAAACTGCATTGCTCCTGCAGCAACCACAGGGGCATTTCTTCTGCTCTTTATCTCAAGATGGATCATATGCCTTCAACCAACTCATGCCAAGTAGTTCTATTCTTTGCTATCAGATGCAGCACTTCACCCCATGTTCTTCCCATCTGGTTAACTTCACTCTCTATCCCCCTTCTTCGTGTAATTTTAGTCTGTCTTTAATTATATGTCTCTGTGGGCTCCAGTGTAAAGACCTAATTATATTGTCTTCATGCTTCTCAATTTGTGTCCTTTTTAATGTTATATCTCCCCCACCCCCACCCCCAAACATCCCAAGAATTTAGGGATAACCAAAACACCTATTTAAGCCTTTAAAATATTTTATTTCTGTGTTAATGTTTTTCTAGCACCATTAACTCAATCCATTAGTGTTAAGGGCAGGTGCGCTGACACAACAACAAAAACACTGAGAGTAGGGGGAGGGGTGGTGAAGGAGGCACTCAGCTCTTTAAAAATATTAAATGGGTGTTGTAGGGCACTCAAGGAACTGGAACCTTATATGAATGTGCAATCATAATAAATGTAACTTTCACTATTATGTACTGATGCAAATAAACGTATTTAAATAATCTGAAACATTATAAAAAATGTTAACAAACATTAAAAAATAGAGCTTCTTTGTTTGGTTATGTAGTCCACTTAGGTCTCTTGCAAATGTTACGGGGTAGGAGAGGGCTACAACAAAAAAAAAAGCACCCAGATTTTATCACTTCCATAGAGGCTACATCAGTTGGTTTCCTTCATAAAAATAATGATAATGCCGTTTCAAATTATTTTTGTAAATATTTTTTTTAAACATTTACTATGTTTCTAAAGAAATTTGCTTCAACATCTTTAACTCTTTCAGTCTCAAAAGTTGTTAAATCAACAGTGAAGATCCTAAAATGTTTTTCTTTAGAGCAACAGTTTTTAAATCCTTCTGGAACTGAAAAACAGCATTGGAAGGGGGGGGGGGAGGGGGTGGAAGATTTTCTGTTAACAATTGAGAAAGCACTGGGAGAGAAATAATGAAGAAATGTGCAGGAAAAAAAAAAACAGTAACCAAAGGCAAGTTTCCTAGTACTGAGAAAGTTAAAATCAAACGTTAATCTTTACCGAAACAGTCTGGCACAAGTCCGTCATGAGACCACTCTCCTACACTCTGAAGACACATAAATATTTCAGGGGCTGTCATCGGATACATATACTGGTCCTCACATTGTACAATGCACTGCTGATCTTCACTACTAAAAATCTTGGTACAAATCAAGGAACCATGTTTTGGTGTCTTTAATTTTGGACAAATTTCAGCTGAAACAAAAGATTAATATTATACTGTTATATAGCATATCATGGTTTTTCTGTACAGGATATTCAGATGTGGGAGGTAACAAGCAGGCTGATAGATTAGCTGCTGCCTATTCTGTTGGCGGTGAGCACTATATGATAAAGCGGATGTGGTGAAGGCTCTATCAGATAAAATGGACAGTGCAAAAGAAGAGGTAGGGAATCCATACACTGAAAGACTAATTCAACAAGGGCTGTATAGATGTTCTGGAAGATATTCAACATTGAAGCGGCAACATAGGCGGACTTTTCATCAGCTTGCAACTTGTACTATTAGCATGTTGACTCTTCGTTGGCTACTGAAGAAGGGGACGGAGCACGTGTGGGAATGTTTTGAGTGCAGGGATGTCAGTTCTTGACTGAGAGATTTATTCAATCATAACGTACGCCCAACCCACAGAGCAATAGAAATCTGGGGAAATAGTACATCACAAAAACCAAAATATGTCTAAAGTATTATCTTCTTCTTCTTCTTCTTCGCGTTCACCAGCTGTAAACTCTGGTGGAAGGTTCTGGTTGCTCGTCCACTACTGAACTGCAGTCCTGCTCCAAAACCTGAGTGTTGCGTGTGCATCAGATTTACAGATCTCATTCTCTTGAATACAGACTGTTGGTTCCTTGTCTCTCCGGCAGATGCACTCCGACTTCAAAGGAAGCTCCCCGGTTAGCCGACTCTTACGACATGCTTTTGGGGAGGCAGTGGGTCTATTCTTGTTTTCCCCACAATGGGGCCCCGGAACCCACACGGGGGTCTAAAGTATTATATCTAAAGCACACACAAAAATAATAATAATAATAACCCACATCATTTTGAACATTCTTAAAGATAAATACCACAATCCACTAATTACAAATAGTTTTAAAGTACACCTAAAGTATATTTTACTTAACACTTATAATCTATTACAGTATTACAATCTGTCGTAATGAAAACATATTCTTTGAACACCATATAGTCTAAAGTCTAAAGCAATTTTTTTTATTTTAAAAACTCCATCTTAATTGTAGTCAGGGGTCCTTATGTAAACTAACAGTTGAATACATGGGTTTTCTGGGACTTATGCCGGAGTGATTCTCACCCGAATTGTGACACTTTCTGCCACAGGGTGTTTATCACTTACTGCGCGGTCCTGGTGGGATGAGCGTCACTCACTCACAAATGTAAATATCTAGTATCAGAAAAGACCTATATATTCCAATTATCAAACAGAAGGGTTGAAAATGCATTGATTAAATTACTACTACTACTACTACTACTACTACTACTACTACTACTACTACTACTACTACTACTACTACTACTACTACTACTACTACTACTACTACTACTACTGCTGCTACTACTACTACTACTACTACTACTACTACTACTAATACTACTACTAATACTACTACTACTACTACTACTACTACTACTACTACTACTACTACTACTACCACCACCAAAAGCTGTCTAGACAGACAGAGATAAGACTCCGGTTACTTTTTAACCAAACAGTGTCCCAATATAACTTCAGTATGGTTGAATAGAATTTCTAAGAATTGTCCCTGTTTGATTCCATCCAAATTGTGAATCACTGGGTGACAGGGTTTAATGCCGTGTTTCTTTGAAAATAATAGCAGGTCTTATATTAATTTTTTGCTATCTAAGATGCCTTTGGACTTATTTTCAGGGGATACTTTTCATACACAAAAATTTACATTTATGTCATTATTGATTTGAAGTATTAATGTTAATACTATTTTTTAAATTCATATTTATTTATATTTTCCTTGTATAATTCATTACGAGTGTCATGTCTTTCAACGGACCAATGAATCAGTTCGTATGGCTGACAATCAAAACAAGAGCTTGTATTTAAGCTAAGGATTACGTTATCAGCATCCTAAAAAATCAGGCCTGGCTTATTTTCGGGTTAGGTTTTATTTCAGACAAAAACATCACAGAACAGGCTCCAATCCTGGAAAGGAAAGTTTTTAAAATTCTAAGGATAGCATAACCAGGGCTTTTTTTCTGACAGTAGGCAATGGGACGCAGTACCTGCATCTTATTTTATGCATCATAAAAAAGTAAAGTCGGGTGAAGGTGAACCAGCGTCTTGCACACGGTTATAAACCATACGTACTCTACCACCAGTTCGACAGCTGATAAGAAACTGTCCGCTTGTGTCGCCGTCTGCACGAAACTCCGTAGCTACAGCGACGTTCCTCAATTTACCCCAGAGTGTTAATTCTGGTATTCATTTCCTAGAGGCTAGGTGAACCCCGGGAACCGTCCGGTTTCGAACACCGGCCGTGGGCTACAGCGAATCGCAGCTGGTTTTGAAAGAGAGTCTCCTATTGACTGCGCTAACGCGGCCCCATAATTGTCTTCACCCATAGTGTATTAGACATTGTGTGATGAGTACCAGTGCCTTTTAAAGATACTTTGCTGTATTACTTTTTTTTTTTTTAACTTAATAAAAATGTTTAATTACTTAGGCTGATTATTAGAGAATGAACCAGATAATACCAACAAAAAAAGTGAAGATTTTTTTAATAGTATGTTTACCCATGCCACCAGGTATACCTGGCATGTAGTGCTAGCACTAGTGCTTCATAGACAATCTAGTCTTCTCAGACAAGGTAGACAAGTGAGAATGTTCCATTGGGTGGGTTCATCATCAAAGCCAAAGTCCAAAAGGGACGAACAACCAGGACTTTCCATCGGAGCTTACGACCAGTGAACGAAGAAGAAGAACAAAGAAAAAGTAGCCCACAAGTGGACGAACAACCAGAACTTTCCACTGAGTTTACAGCTGATGAACACATAGAAGAAGTAGAAAAAAGACAAGACTGACCACAGAATGGTTAGGGCAATATGACTACTTACATTCACAATAGGGTGCCATATCACCGGACCATGTCCACGAGAGTTTTTCCTCGTTGCCTGTCTTGACGCATGTTATCAAAGATGGTCCCCGTACATGTTTTCCATCAGAGCACATTAATGAACAGTTGGCGCCATACACAAAGTGATCTGGACAATCATATTCCATATATTTTCCAGTAGAATCAAAATTAGGCTTCTCACAAGAAATTTCTGAAACAAAGAAAAATTATTTTGAAAAAAGTGATACTGCTTTAAACATTAGGAAAGTAGCATATATTGATATCTTTACAAGATAACAGGTGTAGTATCTTTACAAAATAATAATACAGAAAGTATTAAAGTACTATCTAATGTAAATTGTGGCGTACAAGCTGACCTGGTGTACAAGTCGACTTTAAGATGTATAGCTCAAAATTCCGAGTTAGGCCTTCTTCTTCTTATAGTCCATGTCTAGTGGTGTCGTAGTCATGTCTATCAATAACCTTCTGTCTCTTGTACTTTCAATCACTTCTGACACAGATGGTCTTCCATGCCATGATGTTAAACTGTCCCAGCATCTTCGCTCTCAGTCTTCCTTCACCTCTCTTCCCCTTCAACTTTCCAACTGTCACAGTGCACCAGTTTTCCCCTTTTCATGACACGACCAAAGAATATAAATTGTCGCCTTCTGGTATGGATACAGTATACATTCTTTGGTCATGCCATGGGAAGTTAGGCTTATACTTACCTAATTCATTTTATACCAGCCGTATAAGTTGATTCCTAATACACTACAATTTTATGGTAGTTAAAAATAATGAAATCCCAAACTGGATACAGAATACTAGCTTCATATTTTTACAGCCCAACTGGCATTTGATGTATAATGCGGTAAACATTTTGCTGGTATTCTTTACTTCCCAGAAAATTTTCTGGTACCCATTTCATGCTAAGTGGGATATTTAAAAACCTCTAGCCTTATAAAATGTGTGGAGGATGCCTAAGAGAAACGTAAGACAAATGTAGATGAGAGAAGCTACATTTGATAGACTGAATTCCATCCATGACATTGAAGTGATAGCACAGGTAAGAACATAATAGAGAAATAGACAGCGAGCCTGATATGTGGTTGTGTGGCTGTGTCACACAGTGGCTGTGTAGCTGTGTCACACAGTGGCTGTGTGGCTGTGACACAACAGTGTCTGTGTGGCTGTGTCACACAGTGGCTGTGTGGCTGTGTCACACAGTGGCTGTGTGGCTGTGACACAACAGTGTCTGTGTGGCTGTGTCACACAGTGGCTGTGTGGCTGTGTCACACAGCGGCTGTGTGGCTGTGTCACACAGTGGCTGTGTGGCTGTGACACAACAGTGTCTGTGTGGCTGTGACACAACAGTGTCTGTGTGGCTGTGTCACACAGTGTCTGTGTGGCTGTGTCACACAGTGGCTGTGTGGCTGTGTCACACAGTGGCTGTGTGGCTGTGACACAACAGTGTCTGTGTGGCTGTGTCACACAGTGGCTGTGTGGCTGTGTCACACAGTGGCTGTGTGGCTGTGTCACACAGTGGCTGTGTGGCTGTGACACAACAGTGTCTGTGTGGCTGTGACACAACAGTGCCTGTGTGGCTGTGTCACAACAGTGGCTATGTGGCTGTGTCACACAGTAGCTGTGTGACAGTACCTTGAGGCTGAACCTGCATCAAGTTAGTTGTTTTTTTTAAATGATACTGGCTCTCATGCTGACCCAGCTTAAAATGGGTAGTAAGTGATGAACTTAGAAGTAAAGGTGGCCAGTTTAAGGTTGACTCCATAACCCATCAAGCTCCATTTGATCTATAAAATTATGATTCTGACATAATATACCTGGTGCCACACTGGTGTAAAAAGGGTGCTTTAATTATCTAATAAATTGTGCACACAATGTGACACAAAGTTATTGATACTTTATATGCACAGCACTACTTAAAAAATCACACAAACATATACTCATGCACACAATATAAAAATGATATATAATGACAAAATGAATTAAATGAATATTAAATGTGTGAATAAATTTACTGGGAAGCAAAAGGGCGTGATACTGACAACCTCATCTATGGAATACCAACTAGCTAAAAATATGTAGATCCTACACCATATCCACAACAGAATGGAAGCGTGGTCTTTTACCTTTAATTTCAGCACTGAAAATAATGAATCTTCACATGTTAAAACATTCTGTCAACCAAAAGATTTTACTGTAAGATAAACTTACAGCTAAAAAAAAAAAGAGAACAAGTCATAATGATGAAACTGAAAGGCGCTACTTGGGAAATTAAAATGTACATAGAAATATGTGTTAGCAAAGCATCTGACAACAACGTTCATTACACCGGGAAATTAGTCTAAATCCTGCCTGGCTGGGTTACAACCCTGAAACAAAACCCGAAGCTCTGCAGGAAACAAAAAACTGTAAACACAGACTCATTCGAGCAGCTTAGAGAAGAAAACTTTCAGTTGAAAGGGTGATTCATATTTTGTGTTTCATTGTATGTTGGTGTAGAATCTGTATTTGACAATAGCCCTGACGAGAAATAGTAAATTATGTCAGTCAACAAATTGTGGTGTAGTGTCTGTTTCATCTTTATTCAAATAAGAATACTGTTATAATTAAGGTGCAAAGTTTATTGACAGCTAGAGATAAAAACAACGCATTTAAAAATTAGAATTGTCAAGCATTATGCATACTCAACTTTACTGTATGATGTAGAAACCTGGACAATAAACAGGCAACTAGAACATCGATCTGATTCTCTGAAGATGCGGGTATACAACATAATTAGTTATATTAAAAAAAAAATGCAGAGGTACTGGGGAAATTGCAAATGAATTTCTTTGTGAAAAATAAGAAAGAGACCATTTGAAATTTCAGCCACATTAAAAGACACAACATTCTTTTAGAACAAATTATGGGGGGGGGGGGGGATGTCGAAGGCAAGAGAGCTAGAGGTAGACAAAGATCGAACTTGGATGACAACATCACGAGGTGATGAAAAGCAGTCTGAGAAAGTGCACTATCAAGACAACAGACAAAGATTGTTGGAGATCCATTGCAACCAACCTTCTTTGTGGAGCTGTCATCTGATTAATTAATTGATTGTTATATTTGATATTCATTAATTTATATTCGCCTCCAACTTGCCTTTAACTATGACAAGAAATTGACAATGAGCAGTGTTTCCCTCTGAATCAGTGGCGGTTATGGTAATGTTAGTAGCTCCGATGCTGAACTCAGATCCTAACTCAGGCTCGGCAGTAATGTTGACAGCTTCGTCAGAATTTTCAGTAACCACTGGGTATTCATAAATCACAGTAGCTGGGATTCCCAATGGACCAGCATGGGTTTCAATGTCAGCAGGGCAGCCATAGGGAAACACGGGAGGTTCTACATCTGAAATAATATCAATACTTTAAAGATATTTAATGAAGAATATTCTCTCAGTTTGTTTCTTTTTATTTCATCATCATCATCTTCTTCTTCTTTTTCTTTTTCTTCTTCTTCTTCTTCTTCTTCTTCTTCTTCTTCTTCTTCTTCTTCTTCTTCTTCTTCTTCTTTTTCTGGCTCTATACCAGTTGGAGATTAGGCTCTCCGCTCTTACGAAGTCACCTTGTATAACTGATCCCATCTTTTTCTCTCCTCTCTCTTTAAATCCCTTGTCATGTGTTTTTGGCTTGCTCATATTTGTTTGATTGTGTAGGTATTGCTTTGCTGGATGAGGTAGCTAACCCCAAGCCCAACCCTACCCTTAGTTGTCTCGGAGTCATGTGTTAGAATCCTCCTTAAGTAACAAGTTCTAAAAAAAAAGTTAATTAACCTTTTCTTCCTTTTCGAGCCAAATAAAAATAGGCACAAGACTATTTTCAGGGAAGTAAAGGTTGCTAGGTTTATATTACACATCGCCCATTAATTTTTACTTTGTATTTAAACTAGGGCTGTACCGAATATTCGCTTCGTGTTCTCTTCGGGGCCAAATAGTGGACCTATTGACTATTCGGTATTCGGCCGAATAGTTGTGGTCGGGCCGAATACGAATAGTAGTTACCTTACACCCGCTTCTGCATAGACAGCTTAATGCTGACAATTTATTATATACAAATTATATTACAACCAATCAGATTCAGCCTTATAATTAAAAGAATGCCTTAAATTTAGTTGTGTAATAATATTCCCATACTTCGACAATGCGCTGAAAGATAACCTGAGCTGATACTTTTTCAAGGACAACATCATCATCATCATGTAGCAGGTCCTTTGCTGAACGTCTCTCTCATCACAGTCTGCCTGAAAGAAACTCGGTCCCTCGCCAGTTCTCCCGCCTCATGCACTTTCACACTCAAGGAGTCACTTACATCCTGTACCCATCTTCGTGTCGGTCGGCCCCTGCCCCTCCTTCCTGGTGCCATGCCTTCTGCTATAATTTTTTTCCAATCCGTCGTGGCGCTTGATATGACCAAAATATTTCAGCTTTCGAGAAAGGATGCTGTTTATTAGCCAATCTTCCTTGATGTTCAGATCTTTTAAGATGTCAATATTTCTCATCTTCTTTGCCCAAGATATTCTGAGAATCTTTCTATAGCATTTCAGCTCAAAAGCCATCATTCTCTTTCTTAAGGACTGAGAGATAGTCCACAACTCAAATCCGTATGTAGCCACAGGGAAGATGCATGCTCTCAAAATTCTAATTTTTATCTCCTTGCTGGTGCTTAACCATAGATTTTTAAGGCTGTTCAATCTTTACAAGGACAACATGTATATTAAATAAGATACTTTCCGAAGCAACGATTTTCTTCTTCTTCTTCTTCTTCTTCTTCTTCTTCTTCTTCTTCTTCTTCTTCTTCTTCTTCTTCTTCTTCTTCTTCTTCTTCCTCCTCTTCTTCTTCTCTTCGACCATTTATCTCAGCTAGGTGTTGGGGTAGGGTGGGGAGAGGGGAAGATGTAAAGATCGTTTATGCGCTTTTTTTCCCTAAAGCATTGTACAAGCTGGTATTTATTTCTGTTAGGTTGCCTTTTTGTAGTGAGCCCTGCTCGCTCCAGTTCGATGTTCGTTCACAAGTCTTCTTGTAATGAGCACGACCCCAGTTCAATGTTCGTTCACTAGTCTTTTTGTAGTGGGCACTGCTCGCCCGAGTTCGATGTAGTTCACCAGTATTCTTTTAGTCAGCACTGCTAGCTCCAGTTTGACGTAGGTTCACCAGTCTTCTTGTAGTGAGCACTGCTCGCACCAGTTCATTGCTAGTTCATCGATTTTATTGTAGTGAGCATTGCTCGTAACAGTTCGATGTTGGTTCACCAGTCTTCTTGTGGTGAGCATTGCTTGCCTCCTTTCATTGCCGTTTCGCGTCTTCTTGTAGTAAGCACTGCTCGCTCCAGTTCGATGTTCGTTCACCAGTCTTCTTGTGAGTACTGCTCGCTTTAGTTCGATATTCGTTTACTAGTCCTCGTGTATTGAGCACTGCTCGCCCCAGTTCATTGCTGGTTTACTAGTCTTCCTGTAGTGAGCACTGATCACCCAAGTTTATTGCTGGTTTACCAGTCTTCCTGTAGTGAGCACTGATCAACCAAGTTCGATGTTCGTTTACATGTCTTCTAATAGTGACCACTACTCGCCCTAGTTTGATGTTCGTTAACTGTCTTCTTATACTGAGCACTACTCGCCCAAAATCGATGTTCGTTCACCAACCTTCCTGTATTGAGCACTGCTGGCCCCAGTTCATTGTTCGTTCACCAGCCTTTTTGTAGTGAGCAACTGTTCATTGCTGGTTCACCAGTCTTCATGTAGTCAGCACGACGTGCCCCAGTTCGATGTTTGTTTACCAGTCTTCTTATAGTGAGGACGTCTCGCCCCAGTTCATTGGGGCTGAAGCCTCAAAGACACAGAAGAAGATGACAGATCCAAACCTGCACAATGAGAGGACACGACATAGCCGGCCAGATAGACACACATATAATTTTTAATGCAACATAAGCAAAGGATCCTTTTCCACGATTTCAGGCGTACTGTACATATAGTAAAAAAAAGAAAAAAAATATAGGACCCTTTTCCACGCCTTTAGGTGTATGGGACATATAGGGCTAGACCTATATTTTATAGACCAATCGGTACTTGGTGGGTGATGTGATCAATACGGCTCCAGTCACCTTTAGTTTCCAGTAGGGCTGTACCGAATTTTCGCTTTGTATTTGCTTTGCGGCCGAATAGTGGACCTATTGACTATTCGGTTTAGGCCAAATAGTTGTGGTAGGGCACAGCTTAATGCTGACAACATGGAACGATTGGTTTTGTTAAAAGCTAATGCAGCTTTCCTGTATTAACTAAGCTGTCAGTGACAATTTCCAAGTTTAGTTACCTGTTATAATACTTAGGATTCTTTCAATCCTAGTTATTAGTTATCACAGACTGACCGAAAACATGTTTTTAAATGTTAGCTTTTCTGTACGAATACTAAGTAGACATGGAAAGAATATAAACTCCGGCCACATACAAGTCGATAATATGAAAATCAAACTAACGGAAACATATAAGTACTTGGGTGCAAACTTCAAATGTTCCAACATGCTGAGAGAAGAAATACAATCTAAAATACAATCTAGAAAGAAAGTGAACTATGCCCTTCAACATCTGCTAAAGTCAAAGTGTCTGTCTCGCAACACCAAGATTAAAATATATAAAACGTTGAAAAGACCAGTCGTTTTATTTGGCTCTGAAACTTGAAGCAGAAATAAAAGTGATGAGGCCTTATTACAGGTTTTCGAAAACAGTTCTACAACAAATCTTTGGACCCGTCAGAGATGCTAACAGAAGGGAATTGAGAGTCAGAAGTAACAACATAACACATAATCTGTTTAAATCACCACTGATCACTGGCATCATGAGAGCTAGCACACTAAAATGGTTGGGGCATATTGAAAGAATGTCAGATGACAGATAAGTAAAAACTGTATACACATGAGAGAGGAATCGGCGTAGAACACGTGGCAGACAAAAAATAAGTTCGAGAGATAATGTCCAGTCAGACCTGCAAACAACTGGTGTCACAAATTGTGAAGATAAGGCCAACCAGGGAGATGAATGGAGACGAGTGATATCTGCAGCAGTAAACCTCAAGGGCTCAGAATGCTAAAGAAGAAGATGACTATTCTGTATTACTTTATGTGAAGTAAAAGTTCAGAGTACATTTGACATTATAAATGTGTGTTTTTTAGATATATTGTGTTTACTATACACTATTCGTATTCGTATTCGGTCGAATAGTTGGTCCAGCTATTCGTATTCAGCCGAATAGTGAAAATCACTATTCGGTACAGCCCTAATTTAAACTCTGTACCTGAAAGCATAGAAAATAGTTCTATAATTTTTACTGGTATCTTCTCACAACCTCCTTATTTAAATTTGTATACCAGCTTTGCTGACAGGAGTTGTCCAGTTGTCTTACAAAAAAGTCATCTCTAGTAGTAGAAAATAATATCACTAGACATCCCTTTGTGGGATGCAATTTTTCGTAATTCCCCCCCCCCCCCCCCCCCCCCCCTGGCTCTTGCCAGGGGCCGAAATATAGCCCGGCCATAAATATGGCCTAAACGCTGAATGCGGTTTCCAGAACTTCATCACGGGCGATCCTCATCCCCATGGTGGCATTTTGTGCTGACGGTAGCCCTAACATAACCTTACGGTTGAACGGAGTTTCCAGGACCTCTTCACGGATGATCCTTATCCTCGTTGTGGCACTTTGTGTCACTGGGTGTTTATCGCTCTGTGTGATGTCCTGGTGGGATAAAATTACTTACATATACTCTCTATGAGTTTGTCTTCATTTGTTTCAGCTTTATTTTCTTATAGCTATCTTTTTTTAATTCCTGGTTTTATCCATTACCTGATGGTGATTTCTCTGGGATATAAAGGTAGACAGCATAGTATAAACCAAGTTATATATAGTCTGTCGACAGTCAAAAATATTCAGTCTCTAATATATGCTCAGACCTTGATAAACATTATTGCATGTCCCCTTAAGGCATTGCAAAGCAACCTATGCTTTTACCATTGGGGGGGGGGGGGGGGGGGGGTTTATTGGGCAATTTTATGTTCAGTAATTTGCCTTGGCTTCCTAAATGGTGTAGATCTCATACTGCTTATCCAAATTAATACCATAAGAAAAGTATGTTACCAAATCACTTGCAGTTGACTTTAGACCCTAGTATGTTGAGATTATGAAACTGTATGTATTCATAACCCATAAGCTGCTGACAGTGAATACAACATCAAAAATAGGTGGGTTTATTACTGGTAATTTGGCATACTTACATTTTTCTTTAAAATTTCATTTATTTATTTAACTTGTTCATATTTCCCTCCAGTTTTTCAAATGCCTTTATTTTATTTTGTAATATTTCAT